AAAGGTCAGGACGGGTCACGCAGCAGCTTATGCCAGAGGATTGGTCATTCCACAATTAAATAGTAACACATTTTTATTACTTAATCTACTGCCATTTTTCACACCCAATCATTGCTACTACTACCTCCCAAAAAATACTATACAAAATCCAACGACTATTACTACTATACTGCTGCTGCTACAATACTACCCATTTACCATTTACACACAGGTGAATAGTAAATCATATAAAAGTCAGTTTAATTCTGTAATTGAAATTCCAATGTAAAACTGATATAACAGACTCAGAGTGTGAAGCCTTTATTTGTTATAATGTTGGTAATTGGTCTGTTAAAAATAATGCATTTCAAAAATATATGCACATTTTAGGTTGAATTACAGAAATAAATTATACTCTAATTGTGCCTGTAGTTGTAATACGATATAAAGCCCACAATTAAATGGTTCAGTTTAGTTCAGTTTATTTATTATTAGGGCAGAAGTAAAAAAAAACTTACAAAAATAAATGCAATAAAGGAATTACATATTTGCATCATTCTCCATAACTGTGCCCCATGGAACGACAGACATCTCTAAGTCAGTGATTTTCTAACTTTTGGTCAAATAAATGTACTGTCATCTCTGAAACTTCCTATCTAGTTTTTATTAAGCTGAAAATACTTTTGAGCATCTTCTGGAAGCACATTTGATTTAGCCTGAAACATGATTTGAAGTATGTTATGGTTAACAAATGTCTTTAAATGTCATAATATTTGTGAAGTTTTGCTTTTAACAGAGGAAATGTTTTTTGAAACCCTCTCAAGCTTTTTTTTCCTGTCGGACAAAGGTTATAAAAACATGACAACAAAACAGGGAAGAAGAAACAGGAAGTAATGACAGTGCAGGTGGCTGTATTTGAAACCACGGAGAGTTAATCTGGGACTGAGAATGGCTTCAGACGTGTGTTTTTTTTGTCTTATGAAAACAACAGAGCTGCAGATGGAGACAGAGTCGTTGTAGTTCTCTATGGAAATAATTAAAAGAGGCGTTTTTCCATCTGCTGCTATTGTCATTTCATTTCATTCATTGGGTTGCATTCATGTGACATCACAACACTGCAAAGAGCCCATCGTTTAGAGATGAGGTGAGAGGCAGCTGGAAAATCTGTTCTCGACTTAGTTTAGTGTTCAACTTTTGTACGAATCCATGAAAAACAGTCACAGAGATCCACATGTCGGCACATATCAACTATAAGGTGACTGAAGTGATGAGAATATTTAAAAACATTTCAGACAAAAGAACAATCTACAATGATCTGGTAAAACAGTTGAATATTTTTATTTTCTACATTTCTCTAAATTCTACAATATGCAACATATTAGCACTCTCTCTTCTTAAGGGTTCGAATCCCAGCCGGACACGAGTCTGAGTGGAGTTTGCATGTTCTCCCTGTGTCTGTGTAGGTATTCTTTGAATGAAATGGTTTTTTCTTCCACTAAAATCATGTAGAGTAGGTACAAATCCTCCAGCTCTGTAATTCCTGACCAACATCTGGAGATGGTTCCCCGGGCAACTGTGCCAAGACCACTGCTGGTGACAGAGGTCCTCTTGTCGGACTGAAGGATGGGTCAAAGCAGAGGACAAATTTCCGTCTGGGGACAATAAAGTCATAACTTAACTTAATCAATAATAAATACTGAAACTTGAATGAAACTCCAGAACATTCCAAGCGATACAATATGGTTTCATGAGGTTCAAGGTTCAACTTGAATGTCCCCGAAGTAAGTAATAAGTAAGTAATGTAATTTATATCGCGCATTTTCACAGACCAAGGTCACCCAAACCTCTTCAATGTGCAGAGATATTGTTCTCTCCACACACGGTGATGCCTCCAACCAACCCCATTCACTCACTCGTTACATTCTGACCTATTCTACATGTTTTTACTGGTAGGGGAAACCGGAGCACCTGGAGGAAACCTACACAGAAAGGAGTAAATGTAAACTCCACTCAGAAAGGCCCTGTTCCGACCGGGATTCGAACCCAGGTCCTTCTTGCAGTAAAGCGAGAGTACTCAGCGACCGTTTCGCCAAAGAGAATTTTATCCTTGGTTCACAGAGCTGTTGGACACAAACATAAAAGACACACAACATAAGGACAGTCTACACAACATGAACACAAGAATATGCCATAATATTATTAAAGTACCAGTAAAAGACCAGAGTTAAAAACAATAACCGTTGTGTTCTTAGGCAAAACACGTCCCCCTAGTGGCGAGTGTGAGTCTAGTCAAAAGTCCTCGTCACGTGCGTCTTCAGGAGTCATGTTGTTGCAGGGTTTGGGATGCGGCCGATGACATTCGGGGGATTTCTGCTGCTGTCCCGTTGCGGAAATAGAGCGGTGTGGAGCAGAGCACTTCCTCTTCCTGTCTAAGTTTATCCCGACAGGAAACAAGCCCCAAAGTGTTTATTTACTCTGCGCCGCTCTCAACAACTGAAGTGGAAGTCACAAAAATACTTCTGTCCAAGTCAGCAATGTAGGATCTGAGTAATGCTAATTCACTTTGTCTATTTCAGTTGCAAAGAATGTGTTAAAGGAGAGTAATGTATTTCAATTCAATTCAATTCTATTCTATTCGAAACTGCAAAAACTGATACAATATGAGCTAATAATGGCTTGAATTGAGTGATTTTGATCTTAATTTGAGTTCATTATGACATCTTAAAGGAGCAGTATGTATAAAATCTTGCCAAAAGTGGTACTGCAACCTCTCCCACTCTCCCTGACTCAGGTTGCCAGATATGCAGATGAATCCAGCTGCGACCATAATTGCTGAATAGACAAAAGTTTTGTACCCGGATCACAGACTTTCTGATTGGTGAAACGGTTATGGGGCGGGACATCGAAATGAAAACAATAACAAGATTTAGGGGCTGTAAAACTAATTTTGAAATTCAAATATGTCTGAACTACAGAGGTTTTTGAAAAGAGCATGGTTTAGAAATACCTTTTGACAGATTAGGGCTATTTAATGATGACTTGAAATGAAAATCTTACATATTGCTAATTTAAAACAAGATTTGCAAATGAGACAACGCCTTATGTCAAGACCTGTTGCTTTATTTTCTCATTCCAAGGGAGAAATGTGCACAAATTCAGATACTTGTTGCCAAATTTGAGCAATTATTGACTTTTTTTTCATCACTTTTTGTATTAAACATAACTTTGTATAGCCCCAATCACAACAGCAGCCGTCTAGGAGGGCTTTAGAAAGTTGTCAACAGAGAATTAAATGGACACAGGAAATGCCATAATAAAAAACACATAGTAGAAATTGGTTCATGAGGCAGAATGACCAATGTCCATTAATATCACACACATTTTTCAAAACATAATATTTATTTGTATCCCAGCCATTCAAAAAATACAAGGATAATCTTTTTTAGGTGGCCCCAGATATAAAAAACCCAATTTTTCCATCTTGTATCGCAATGTTTTCAAACGTCCTCTGTCTCCATGTCAAACTGTTTGAGCTGTGATGTTAGAGACATGTTTCACTGTGCTGATGACTCCTTACCCACAATCCTCGGTGTCCGGGCTCCTCGCTGTGATATATTTACCAGTGTTAAGCTAGAGCTGAGGTGCAACGGACCCAAACTGTTACTCAACCACGATCTGTTTGCTTTTGTTATGTTTGGCTCCAGCTTTAACTCCTCTTCAGAGCTGGAATGTTTTCTATCATCATGTTTTCAGGTGTCCAATAAATAATGTGGGAGTAACTTGGAAATGGAATTGATCGTGATTTAAAAAGTGCAATTGCTTGTCAGTGTGTATGCTTTTAATATAACTGAACATTTGTCTTCAGGGTTTTCCTTTTTCTTCATATGAGGTATTGATTGCTAGAATCTGGTGGTTTTTATCTTGATTTGAGGACATTTTCACTTTCTTCTCACTTTCTCACTATCATTTGGTGGAGTTCCGAGTATGCAGTCGCTGTCCTCTAAAAATCAAAGAAATGCACTTTTGTAGCATGAGCATGGTATTCAGGCTGTGATCTGCCTGCTGTAAGTGCCACGGGGAAGGCTTTGTCTGTGACTCCATTATTGTCACTCATTCATCCAGTATTTGATTTTGTCAGTGGTCGACAAACTTAAATTGTCCAGAACAATTTTTATCCATCGATTGACAATTTTACAGACTGAATGGGTTTAGGCTGAAGTTAAAGGGATGTATCTAACACACACTTAGTGGTCTAAAAAAGTCATTCGAGTCGTCCTGTCTCTGATACAAGCACTGTTACAGATGCAAACCACCTGCTGGGGTTTAACTAGAAAAAGTGCAAGCTGTGTATTCCAGTCGACTTATTATTCACTTGTTATTTTATACTTATACCAAATGACGATATGAAAATTTAAAAACATTTTTGGTGCTATTTTTTTTTCTGTGAACTGGCAACACAAATGATAGGCTCTATCTACCCTCTGGTTGGCTCTCATAGACATACATAGTATGGACATCATGTTTATTGTACTCTTAATGAAGAATAAAGGCAGTTTAAACTCAAAAACAACAGTTAAATATGATTTGTACATGTGATTAACTAGGGAAAAACATGTCATTTAAATCAGGACATACTGACTTAACACAATATCTAGAATTTGTGCGTATGTGTGTGTGTGTGTGCTTGTCTGAATGGTTGTTGGTGATCGAAGGGACAAAAGGCAGTGTGGGTTTTAGCAGTAGTTTATCACCACTGTGTATGGAGTGAATAAATAATGAAAGGTGAAGTGTTTTTGATTGTCCAAAACAGCGCCCTATAAAAGCCATGGATTCTAACGAAACTCGAAGTAAATATTTCAGCTGGTGTTGGGTCTTGTGTTGTGAACGCTCATAAACACAGTCTGCGACAAGTTGAATATTAATGATAAACTCACAGCATCCATAAAACGATGCTCATTATGGTTGATTATACTTTATCATCTGTACGTTACACTCATGGATCTGCTTTTTCTCTGTGGAAGGCGTGGAAGAGGCGCTGGTTCGTGTTGCGCAGCGGTCGTCTCAGCGGGGAACCAGACGTGCTGCAGTACTATAAGAACCCTCAGACCAGACGCCCCATCAGGACCATCAACCTCAACCTCTGTGAGCAGGTACAGCAGCTCCGTCACTTTGTTTGGTCACACTTTTTAGAACACACTGCAAAAAACAATAAAATGTGAAGTAACAGTTGCTTGAATCAAGTTGTTTTTATCTTAATTTGAGCTCATATTGACTGCCCAGAACAAGATTTTCCAATGGGACAAAGCCATCTAATCTTACTTCAAGAAATGTTGCATTATTCTTTTTATTCCAAGGAAGACATTTCTTGGATCTTTTTAAAACAAGATCATGTTGCTTGGTCCCATTGGCAAATCTAGCTTCGAGGCAGATTTGAGAAATTTTTGACTTATTTTTCATCGCTTTTTGCAGTGTATTGTCTAAGTGCATTCAAGTGTGTGAGGTTTCCCCCAGAGAGCAAGAGGACTGACGAAATAATTTTGTTACTAGTTTTAGAATTGATTCTTGCTGCTTTCTTTTGATCACCCTCGAACTGAATGTATTAAAGCTCTCTCTCTTTGGCCTCCCTTTCTGGTCTCTCTCTGGTCTCTCTCTGGTTTTCTCTCTCTGCCCTCTCTCTCTGGTGTCTCTCTACTCTTGTGCTATACAAATAAACTTGCCTTGCCTTACATACACTGCAAAAAGTGATGAATTATAAGTTCAAAACATTTTCAAAGTTGGCTAAAGGTTTTGGATGTAAGCACATTTTCTTTAAAACAAGATTTGCCGTTAAAACAGGCTAAATTGTATATTTTTAAAAAATACAATAAATGTCTCTCGTGCAATGAGAAAATAAAGCAACAGTTCTTGAAATAAGAATGGCTTTGTCCCATTGGCAAATCTTGGTATAAGACAGTCAGAATGTACTCAAATCAAGACAAAACTACTTAATTCAAGCATTTATTACCCCATCATTTTTTGCTGTGTAGTATAGAATTCTTGTACTACTTTTTGGACGGACAGAAGGTACCTACCATAGTTTTGATGAAGTGGTTATTCCCTGTGTGTTTTTGCGTGGTCATGATGTGTGTGTTTTGTGACGTCAGGTGGATGCAGGTCTGTCCTTCACTAAGAAGGAGCTGGAGAGCAGTTTTGTGTTCGACCTGCGCACAGAGGAGCGGGTCTGGTACCTGGTGGCCGAGTCGGAGCAGGACATGAACCGCTGGGTGTCGGCCATCTGCCTGCTCTGCGGCTTCAACCCCACGGACAACGGTACGTCACTGATATTTGTGATTACTGAGGTCGCACACAAGACCGTGAAGGTCATTAACTGTCTCTTTTGTGACAGTTTACTATTGTGTTTATTTCTGTCTATTTTCTCATGAAATCATATTTTATGAGTCTGATTCTGATTTATTTGGAAGTAAAAGTTTTAAATAATTGAAATAAAGCTGGGGAACCTTCATTTTATGGCAGTTAAATATTTTTTTAAGATGCTGGTTCTGGACTGGTTCTGGTTTTGAGCAGAGTCTGATGGTTTTCAAGGCAAGACAAGTTTATTTGTATAGCACAATTCATACACAAGGCAATTCAAAGTGCTGAACAAAACAAGAAAGCATTAAAATCATAAATTATCACAGAACATTAAAAAGAAAGATAAAAATATAAAATCCCTCAGTTGTATGCACAGCTAAACAGAACTGTCTTTAACCTGGTTTTAAACATTGTCAAAGAGGAGGCCTGTCTCACATCTTCAGGAAGATTGTTCCAGATTTTAGCAGCATGAATCTGAAAAGCAGCCTCCCCATGTTTAGTTCTGACTCTGGGCACTAACAGGAGTCCAGTCCCTGTGCTCCTCAGAGTCCGGGCTGGTTCATATGGGACTAACATGTCACTAATATATTTTGGTGCGAGGCCATGGAGAGACTTGTAACAAGCAGAGCTGTTTTAAAGTCTATTCTCTGAGCCACAGGAAGCCAGTGCAGAGACCTGAGAACTGGACTAATATGGTCGTACTTCCTGGTTCTAGTCAGGACTCGAGCTGCTGCATTTTGAATGTACTGTACTGCAGCTGTTTTACTGCCTGTTTGGACAGACCTGTGAGCAGGCCATTGCAGTAGTCTAACCTACAGGAGACAAATGCATGGATAAGAATCTCCAGGTCTGCTTTAGACACTATGTTTTTGATCCTGGCAATGTTTTTTAGATGGTAAAAAGCTGCTGATGTTACTGATTTGATGTGGCTATTAAAATTTAAGTCTGAGTCCAGTATTACCCCTAGATTTCTGACCTTGTTTGAAGGTTTTAGGGAGAGAGACTGTAGGTGACAGATGACGCTCTCTCTTTGTTTCTGGGGACCAAAGACAATCATTTCAGTTTTGTCTGCGTTTAGCTGAAGGAAGTTGTTTTGCATCCACTCACTGATCTGTTGGATACAGTGAAGGAGTGAGTCCACTGGTCCATGTTCTCCTGCAGTCAGTGAGACATAGATCTGAGTGTCGTCTGCATAGTTATGATAGGAAACTTCGTTTCTGCGTATTAACTGACCTAACGGCAGCATGTAGAGATTGAACAGAAGAGGTCCCAGGATCGACCCCTGTGGTACTCCACAGGTCAGGGCCATATGATCTGAGACACAGTTTCCAATCTCCACAAAGTACTTCCTGTCCTCAAGGTAAGACCTAAACCAACTTAGGGCGGTGCCAGCAACGCCAACCCAGTCCTCTAATCTCTGTGGAAGGTGGCCCTTCCACCAGAGAAGGGCCAGTGCTAGTTACCATAGCAACTCACTGTTTAGTGTCAGCATTTGTCCTGTCAACAAACTGTCTTCTATTCAATAAAACTGGTAGGAAACAGCACATGTTTTTGTTGGGAAATTTTCAGAATTTCCTTGGAGCCATCAGAATGACTGCTCAGGGAGTTCTGGTAGTTTCAATATTCTGGAGCTGGTTTTGCATAAATCATACTTGTGTTATGAACAACTCAGACCACGACACACTGTCTACATAGTAATAAAAACTCTGGGCTGAGAGAGGATTGGTTGAGGGAGGGTGGTCCCATCTTTTTCACTAGTTAGCCTTAAAACGCTGATCTAAAGATGAGGCCAAAAAATACGTAGACATAGTAAAACTAGTGCTAGAACTATGGTTTTGAGAGCAAGGAACTCATTAAGGTTGATATAATAAATGACATTGTTAAATTGTTATTGGTTTGAAAGTTACGTACCCCAGCTTTATCCGTGCTACTCTCAGAGAAACTGAAGTGCTCTGCCAAATTATGTCGATCAAACTGTGACCTGGGCTCTGCATGTTAAGAAAGAAGTTCTCTAGAGGACACGAGCTAAAGCACTCGTAGAGCACAGACCTCCACCATGAGGAACAGTTTTATTCGTCAAATAAATACTGGATCTAGACGTTGATCCATATCTCCTCCAAAATCGAACGTTTTCCTTATTCCACATCAAAGGATCTAGAAATTCGTATGATTGAAAATGCGATTACTTTTACCAACTAACAAACAGACAAACATTCTACCTGTATTCTTTAGCGTAGGTAATGACACAAGGTTAAAGAACAATAAAGATAAAATAATTACTTTGATATTCAATCTAAAGAATCTTATCTACTTGTGCCATAGTCCCAGAGAGACAGTTGTCTCCGGCCTCTTCTGGACCCACGCCTGGTCTCCAAACTCCTGTCTCCATCCCTCCGCCATACGACCCAGTGAGTGTCCCCACAAGCTCCACAAACAGGGGGCAGTGTGCCGGGGACGAGGAGAACTATCTGTGGCTGTCCAACTGTCAGAGCCACACCAGGTGAGGGTTTAAGGCAGGGGTCTCGAACTCAATATTTATCATGGATTTCTAAATAAATGTAGAATTAAATCACGGTCAGAGCTCCTGGATTAATGAATGTCTAGCACTGTGTTTAAAACTGTTCCATCTTTTCATTCTTTAGCAATAACAGGAGAGAAAGTAAACATTTGTACTTGTAGAAAAGAAATAGACAAAAACAGGCAAACCAGGAATCAAACGTTTTTTGAAAAGTTTTGTTTTTAAGCATCATCACTTGCATCTGTGCCTTTTTTACCGGTATTTTGACCAATTTTTAGTTTTTGTATTGAATATGAGTATGCATATTATTTGTATGTATTTCTTTGAACAATAACTGGGCTGAATAACGTTTATTTTCAATTGTTACTTTTTGCGTTTAGGGTTCAATGTTTATGATAATATAAAAATTGTGGTTGTTAGAACTATCTTTAAGATGATGTATAACAGGCCATATTAGCTCAAACTCTTAATCAAGGGGCTACAAAAATATCTTTTGGCAGAAAATCAAAAACACTTCAGTTGTGAAAGTGATTTGCAAACATCATGGAAAAAATCACTTGAATTGAACAACGCAATGTGTAAAGATAAAAAAGTGTTCAATCCACTTGTTTGTAGTGGTTCTTATATTTCTACAAGAAGAAAATATTTGCACTACAGTAACCAATTCTATAAAAATGTTCCGAAATGTGTGGGAATTATGGTTGAGGTAATTCATTCGCTGTTGCTTTTTCAAGTTTTTTTATATACTAAAAATAAAATGTGTCTCCCTGTTACACTCAATTCATGAGCAAATGTTTTCTTCTGCAGACCCGCGGTGGGCTCGTCTCTGTCCTTGGACACAGACTACAGTGACCTCTTTCCTGGACCTTGTGGAACCTCATCCTCCTCGTCCTGCTCCTCCTCCCCCTCTCTGCCCCCCTCGCAGCCCCCCTCTGCACACAGAACGGCCCCCTGGACTGTCCCAGGCTTCAGCCAGTCCCTGGACTCTGCAGCAGACCCATACAGACCAGGGTAAACACACTCACTGGCTTTCTCTATAAACACAGGCTACCGTTTTAGCAACTCAAAATCACAGACTGTTTATAGGAATCAACGATGCTAACCTGCTAGCTCGATAGAATCCTGATAGGGAAGCGCTCATGGGAGAAGTTTTTTTTTCTCCAAATCACCCTGACATTCATTTACGTTGAAAAGTCACTACTGTCACTTGTCATATTTTGTTGTAAGTCCAGACATGAGCTCTAACAACCGACCAATCAGATCCTTTGTGTACTGGAATTGGGCTTTATCTATCAAGTAGCGCAATCGGGAACTGACCAGCGCTGCTCCTGATTGGCTCTTTGGTTGCTAGGTGGTTGCTATGAAGGAATTTGGCTCCAGACCCAATAAGGCAAACACTATTTAATGGATGATGTCTGCAGAAGTAATCCCGTCTTCTTCAAACCACACAAAATGAAACAAGCGGTACACAAGTAAATGGGAAAAGTTTCCCGCTCTCAGAACAGTTTGACTCAACCACTAGTTTTTAGAGAAGCGAGAAAGAAAACATGTTTTCTAATAGTAAAAAGACAGCATGTGTTGGTCTGATTCCTTCAAAATGTTTTACTTTTGCAAGACTCTTTCTGTTGAAACAAAAAAAATGCATTATTATCAATCAATCAATTGTATTTATAAAGCAGGACTCATACAGTGTAACCCAAAATGATTCATAAGCATTAAAAACATATTATCAGTATATAATAAAAAAACATAGTAAAATACAAAAAAGAGAAAAATGAAAACAGAAATTCTTCAAAAGTGTGTCACAGTTTTCAGCCAGGACTTCACATTCCTAAAGACATGTCCCTGGAAAATAGTCAAGGAGACTATTCCAGATTTTTTATCTGCATACATCTCAAATGTAGTTTGGTGCGAGGCCAGGAAGTCAGTGCAGCGTTAATTCCCACAAAAAATAAGGCCTGTGTCAAAACGGTTGTTCCCTTCAGAGATCCCACGAGTTAACAAAAATTACCTGTTATATTTTTGTCATTTCCTGTTGAATACTGACTGATCCTGTTGTCTGTGTAGGACCCTGGAGAAGCTTCCTTTCAGACCGCCCTGTCACCCCTCCCCTCACCCTCGCAAACACTCCCTGGACCTGCACCTGCGCTCGGCCCCCGCGCAGCCGGCCCCCGCGCAGCCGGCCCCCAGTGTGTACCAGGTGCCCCGCTGCCCCCGGACCTCCTCCACCACCAGTGTGGACCAGGTCACCCAGGCGGAGCTCCGGACAGCGGCCCTCCAGCCTCCACCCAGACCCCCGAAGCCCGTGGCCCAGGGCGAGAGGTTGGCTACGCTGCCCCGCTCCGGGACCGAACCACAGGAAGAGGCCGGAGGGCAACACCGGAGCAGCACCATGACTTTACCAGGACGACCAAACTCAGGTGAGAAGAGAATCAAGCTGGGTATGGTAAGAATGATTTACAGCGATACACTGCAAAAAGTGATGGAAAACAAGTAAAATTGCTCAAATTCAGATACATTTTGCCAACTTTGAGCCTTTTTTGACTGCTTCAAAACAAGACTTGCCATTGAAACAAGCAAAATGATACTGTTTTAAAAAGATACAAGAAATATCTCCCTTGGAATGAGAAAATAATGTAACAATTCTTGAAATAACACTAAATGGCTTAATGGCAAATCTTGTTAAGACTGTAGAGAATGTTCTCAAATAAGACAAAACTTGACACTCGATTTAAGCAATTATTACCTCATATTTTATCATTTTTTGCAGAATAAACATTAGCCAAAAGGAGAAATTCTGTTTACCAGGGTTTGTAGCAGCAGTGCTAATTTACAGTCCCTGAGCAGGTTGTTGTAATGTCTGTCTGATAATGTATGGTCATGAATCCATCTACTGTTATTTTACTGTTTTAAAATTTAAGTTTTCATACAAGTTACTACAAAACTACACAGCACACATTCTAGTACAAAACACAGAACAGTATCTAAGTTTTCTTTTCATAAATACCTTTAGTTTGTCCCAACAGAACCTCGTTTAATTAACATTAAAAACAACAAATCAGTCCTCATCTTGGTCGAGTTAGGGCTGGGAAGGAAGAGCAGAGTGAAAATATACATATTTCAGCAGCTAAAAAAAGAGGTTGGCTAAGCTTCTATGGGTGCAGAATACTTCACTCTCTTAAATCATATTGAAGAAGATAATAACAGGAAAAGGTATGAGTCGGCTCACAACGCACATGGTATTCACAATTCATTCAATTCAATTCAATGTATTTTTGTATGGCCGTAAATCATAGCAGTGGTCGTCTCGGAAGACTTGACAAAGTGCTCCGGAAATGCAATTATACCAAACGCATATGACCCATTGGTCCATAGGGAGCAGGATGACCACTGTCTATAAATGTTCTTAAATGTCCCCGATCATTATTGTCCCTAGACCCTCATGCATCAGCAAGGAACTAGGAAAAAATTGGTGGGAAAAAGTGAGAAACCTCTGGGAGGGTCACATTGAGGGAGGAATTCAACCCTGAACAGACAGGCAGTAGATCCAGGTCTGAGGCTGTGCAGGACTGAGGAGGATCCCAGGCGGCGAGGGGAGTGCAGCCCACGAGACAAGGCCGGGAAAGACAGGTGCAGATGAAGGAGCCCGTTCAAGGGTCCCAGCATCACGCCATTAAACAGGAACGCCAATAAAAAGTCTACAACTGAAGTCATAACGGTGACAGATGAAGTACAGTAGGAGAGAGGAGAGAATAGTGGAGTTTCAATACTTCTTCCAGCTTTTATATAAGTCATTTGTTGGCTCAAAAGTTACTTAAGATTTAAAAGAGCAGTATGTGGAAATCTAGCCAAAAGTGGTACTGCAACCTCTCCCACTCTCCCTGACTCAGGTTGCCAGATATGCAGACGATTCCAGCTGGGACCATAATATCTGAATAGACAAGAGTTTTGTCAACAACAAATCTATAACCAACACCTTTTTCACAAAGATAAAAATCCTGGTTTTATTCCATGTTTTGTTATCAATGATTTGAGAATCATAACACCTTTTTCAGTACGGCCTGACATGTTACTTTACCTGTGACTTTAGCGTGTAATTTCCTGGTTGACTGTACGAGGGAAATGTCAGCTTTGTTGGGTATTATTGACTGCTCAAAAATCAATATTTAATTTACATATTTATTGTTTTTTATGCCTATTTATTTGCAACCAACCATTCAGAGTACATATTCAGTGTCTCTTTTGGGTCGTTAAATTTGCATAATTTGTGAGGTCAGGGAGTGCAACTACCGCTTAGACTAAAATACGTTACACAAACTTAACAAAGCTGCTTTCTTCTGGGATTTCAGATTAAAGTTCGCACCATGAGGACTTTGGCCCTAATTCTAGCATTATTTATTGTTCATTCACCCAGGGCTGGCTTTGGTCGTATCACAAAAATAAAGACAGATTGTGTATATTTTGTGTGTTTGTCTTTAGAGTCGTCCTCCACTCCTCGCTCCCTGTCGGACCGAGCCAGTATCTTTGAGTTCAGCGAGAGTTTCAACACATACTTTGTAAGATTTCTCTGCATTTTCCGCTCCCACACGGCTCCTCCTCATGTCATCTTTCTCTACGTCCATAAATCTCCTCCTCGGCCTCTGTTTCGGCCTCCTGTTTCCTGTCAGTTCCCTCTCTCTCAGCAATGATTTTACCCCTTCACTGTCCCACTTCTGTGCATGTTCCATTAACAAATAGGACTCCCGGAAACTTCAATTTGACTGCTCCCATTCATACCATAGGAATTCTGAAAAAAAAATTTTAGGTAGTCTATAAGGTTTTTTTTTAACCTTTACTCACATTTAATAAGTGCTAAAACTGGTGAATATAACTTGCAATAGAGCAAAAACATGATGGTTGAGATGCTACCGAATGCTGCTGACAGTAACAGTGCGTTGCCATGGTAACTGCACTAGGAGTTAAAGTACAAACTCCTCACACTTAAACAATAAAAGTAGATTTCATAAAAACAATGACATAGAATACAGAAAAAGTCACAAATTTATCGGGAAAAACAGTTTCACACATTGAGTAATTAACCTTCCACAGCTTGAACCCGTCAAATTGACCGCTCTGTACATTTCCAAAACGATGTCTGAGCTGTGTGTCTTGTTTCAGCTGAACAAAGGCCTGGTGCCTCTGGGCAGCGTGTGCTCTGAAGAAGACGAGGCTGATGAAAACTATGTTCCAATGAGCGCCGCCACCACCGAACCTCCGATAGCAAGGTATTGTCTCAAACGTTAACCCTTTAGGCGCCAATGAAGCAGAATTACTACACCAACTCCTATAATCAGGACACTTTTCTATACAGCGACTTGGCTTCCCACAAACGTCTCCCTACATCATTCTTACATTATTTTCTGTTTTTTCCATTTGATAATGTTTGATTCCATTGGTTAAACTAGTCCAGTGTTGCTTACTAAGTTACAGAGTGTAACTTAGTAAATACCTTTTGTCTATTTCATAATATATTTTTCTCCCTGGATTGGTAGAAATTGGTAGAAAAGGCTAGAAGCTTCACGTTTGAAGTTTAAACTCAAGGCCTTTCTGTGGAGTTTGCACATTTCCCGGTGTTTGTGGAGAAAAAAGGGAGAAAATCCTAAGATTGCTCTGATAGAATCATGATAGGATCTGAGCACTGTTCCACAGGCTGTTAGGTGCCTAAACAGAGCATTTTAATTCCTGCTTTTACCTGCTTTTAAACTGCTTTTACCCCTTGTATTGTTTTGTCGATCGGTGCCACAGTGTCAGCTGTTTTTTTTTTTTTTTTTTTTTTTATTATTTATTATTTTATATTCAGTGTATGTGTATTTATATTACATTGTATCGTGCTTTTTATTCTGTCGGTGCACACAGAGTACCTCTTTTTGCATGTATTTCCAATGTAGTTTTACTGCACATGGCCAATAAAATGAATCTGAATCTGAGCACTGTGCTATGAAGCAACTGATTGTGAAGTGTGTGCGCCCTCTAGTGGCCTGTACAGGGCGGTGCACAGGCTAAACTTCCCACATCAGAGCCACATGTCTGAATTGTCTGCTTTGCTTACCAGCTTACCAACTTGGATTGAGGGATATAGTTTCATTTGAATTTGATTATAAGGGGGAAATAAGAATTCAAATAGATCAAATATTGGTTTAGAATTCAATCTAAAAGAAATAGAATAAATTAACGCATGTGACAAGTATAAACAAATAAATTAGATGTTTGCTGAAAAGAATCTGAAAAAATGTAGTGGAATTTGGACAAGTTTGGAAATTACGGCAAAGACAAAATAAAATTTAATCTGAGACATTGACTAAACTATTTTTAATTTAAAAGGCATAAAACTAATACTCATTATTTAGACAAAGAGTTGGGGCTAAGTGCTGATAACACTGATATTAGCATGGCTGGATCTAAAATTACTAGATCCAAAAATATTTTTTTTTGTTTAAAGAATGAAACCAAAGAAAAATAAACAATGGAGATAAAAAATCCATGTAACTCTGTCCAACAGCTCCTACTGTTCAATCACTAATTTTAACATTCATATACTATCACAATGATTCGCTTTTGTAACATAAACAAGACTTTCTAATGGGGGGAAAAAAACATGTATTTTTCAAAGTTAGGGACTAGCTTTAAACTTATAATGTATTGTGAGCGTATTACTATGACATCACCACCTCCTCCTTCTCCTCCTCCAGAGCTGCTCCTCCTCCCCCTTCCCTCCACTCTCACGAAACCAACTACGTTTCCATGACGCCACTACCCCCCAGCACTCTGGCCCCGCCTATTCCTCCAGCACCATGTGACCCCTCGTCTCTGGGGCGACAGGTCCCGCCTCCTGGTCACATGGGGTTCCGAACCTCCCCTGTGACTCCACCCCCTCGAGGAAATCCCAGCAGCCCCGGCAACGATCCCCCTCCCATTCTTCGCAATCTCAAGCCACGCAAAGGTGAGAGCGAAATACAGTAAATGTACAATAAAGTAAATTTACCTCCATAACTGTTTATTTTGTATCTTGCGAATTGAATGTTTTATTTTATCATTTTATCATTTTGTCTATATATGCACAAGTTTGGAATAAAGAAGTTTCTGTCCAGCTGCTCTGAGGAATTCCCAGGCGTTCCCAGGCCAGCCACAGAAAGGGCTCATTTTGTGTCCCTGGCAATTTGTTATCAATCTTGCTTTGCTTTGTAAGTGGCATGTTCACTGGCATCTGCGTGGCCTTCTTAGTGGCATCTGACAGTCTTATTAGCGTCTGGTGTTTTAGTGGCATCTTGCATTGTAGTAATATCTGGTCTTCTTTGTGGCATCTGGCCTTTTTAGTGGCCTTCTTAGTAGAATCTGGCATTTTGTCGTGTCTTGCATTTTAGTGGCATCTAGCCTTTTTCGTGGCATCTTGCATTTTAGTGGCATCTAGCCTTTTTCGTGGCATCTTGCACTTTAGTGGTGTCCGGTCTTCTTGGCGGAATCTGGCAGTCTTGGTAGCATTTGGTGTTTTGTGGCATCTTTAAGTGGCATCTGGCCTTCTTCAGACCGGATCATGCGTTGCGTCGGCTTTCAATGCAAAGTCAATAGTGACGCACGTTTGAGCGTCGAAATGCATGTGCGCCTCAGTATGCATGCACAGACTGCTCGGTAGAGATGCACGGACTGCGCCGCAATGTCGCGGGGGAGGTGCAGGAGCGGAAAATCGACGCAGGCAGGAGATCAATTTTGCTGAGCGTTTCCTTGGGACGCTCGTGCAGCGACCAATCAGAGAGCCGCAAAGTGGTCACGGGGACATTAGTGATCTGAGCGAAAACAGGAGCTACACCACGACTAAAAACCAGGGTTGACAATGGGGGACTGTGTGCTTGTGAACATATGCGTTTTCATGCTCCCGTGACTTTATGCAACTGCTTCGAGCGTATTGGCCGATGCAGAGGTACCATTTAATAATAAAATAAACATATGCAGCACCTCCGTGAACACATACTGCTGTTATATAAAGTCTCTGGAAGGTCTCTGGACACAGAGACGCTGCAGAGCTGCATTATTGGAGAAGAACTTTACACAAAAAGCCGCTATCTTAACTCTGTTAGCATCAAAGCCCGCCGGCTACTTCCGCCACTTCCGGCGCGCGCCACTGCTGGCCAGGACTTCTGGAGTGAAGACCCTTGCGTCTGAAAGCAGCTTTAGTGGCATCTAGCCTTTCAGTGGCCTTCTTAGTGGCACCTGGTCATCTTTGTGGCATCTTGCATTGTAGTAGCCTTCTCAGTGGCATCTAACATTTTCAGCGGTGTCAGTTTTGTTGACATTTTTGCTTAAATCGGTTTCTCTTATGAACTCCAATCCCACATCCAAAGCTTAACTGCTGCCTCCTCATGTGTATTTGTTGTCACATGTATTTTAGCTACTGTACATCATCTCATTTTAGTTGCTAACCAGGAGATGTTGTACCTCTTTTTTCTTACCGCACAAGTATAGATTCAAATGTTTCTTTCCAATAATCAAATATTATCAATGGTGATTTCTTGCAGGGGCTACTGTTACTACTCCAACATCAGAGAAGTCAGACACAGATCAAACGCCCAAAGCTAAAGGTCAGGATTAAAAACCATATTTGTGTATCCATGCTTATTCATGAATAATATTTTGTATTTACAATTTTGGGGGATTCATGTCCCAGTGAGAAAAACATTTGTTATTTTCTGTATTAATCTATTCTGTTGTTTGGCAGTGAAACCAGCTCCTCTCGACATGACCTCTGTGCAACAGCAGGACTGGCAGGAAGTCCCGCCTCCAGTGCGTTCACCTGTCACTCGAACATTCACACGAGAGTAAGTCTGATGAAGTGAGATTACTTTGGGCATTAGTGATGGAATTGAATGACTGTTTGGACAATGCTTTTAGTTCAGTAATCTTTTGGTTCCATTTTATATAACACAAGTTGTTTATAGCTTCTTATGTTGGATGATCACTCTATGGAGCATTTATCAATCCCAATAAATACCAGTTTCATAAATAATTGAATTAGATCAAATAAATTAGTACAATGACTTCCATATGAAACATTGTTGTATGTATTTTCAGCTGCTCCTTTTGTAATTTTTGTTATAATATTTGCCAAAAAGTGTGCCCAAAACTGCTGAAATTTGATGTATTAACATGGAGAAATACACTAATTATTTTGCAAAAGTAAGTGCAATAACTTTCTTAAAATAAACAAGTACTTGATCTTGGTATACCGGTATCACCATCACCCCAAAGCAAAAAAAACATTTTGTTTGGATCTCACATGCTTTTATATATTCACTGATATATATATATATATATATATATATATATATATAAAAAAAATTGTCCACTCACCTTTGGTCCTCCGCGGGCGGTTATCCCTCTCTAAGCTCGGGTCCTCTACCAGAGGCCTGGGAGCTTGAGGGTTCTGCGCAGTATCTTTGCTGTTCCTAGCACTGCACATTTCTGGACCGAGATGTCCGAGGTTGTTCCGGGGATCCGCTGTAACCACCCATCTAGCTTCGGGGTCACTGCCCCGAGTGCACCGATCACCACGGGCACTACTGTGACCTTTACCCTCCAGGCCCTCTCCAGCTCCTCTCTGAGACCTTGGTATTTCTCAAGCTTTTCATGTTCTTTTTGTGGATGTTGGAGCATTGAGCTACCAGTTGTTTCGGGGTCAACTGTGACTGTGGGTTTCGAAGTAACCATTCAGCCCACATTCTCTGCATGTAACCTCTTTGGCCAGGGTTACTCGAGTAGTAGCATTCCAACAGAGCCCTGTTATTGCATCTCGTCCACTTTCGCCTTGTTCCAGTAGCCCACTTTTCATCAAGGTGCTCTGGTTCCCCAGCACCTGACGCAGACCTTGTTTGGCCGGGCGACGGCTGATCCGGCATCTCATTGCTTATTTGTACCTTCATGGTTATGAGTTAGGCAGTAGCATTAAGGGTCTTGCCCAAGGACCCTCACTGGATGTTGGTGTTAATGTGCTCCCGGTGGGAATAGTATATTATATTATTATAGTATATTATTAGTATATATATATATATATATATTTATATATATATATATATATATATATATATATTATTGTTAAAATAGATACAGTACATAAATAAAATATTTGGTAGAGTATTTTTCAGTGAGTTGGAGAATGACGTGACTCCTGTGTGTCTCAGTCCGTCCTGTCGGCGTGAGGTGGTCCTCAGCAGCGCTCACAGCTCGTCTCCGTCCTCCGACTCGGAACCAGACGACAACTACGTCGCCATGACAACTTCCAACCTCAACTTTAGCGCCGGAGAATCGGTATTTAGAATATATACATTATAAAATGTGTATTCTATTTATACAAATATTGTACATAACAACATTGTGGTCTGCATCAGTATCAACAGTCGTTTTACTTTAACATATTATACGCTCGTATCCTAGTATGTCATGGCTACGTTTCCACAAAAAGTATTAGTTCGGATTTTTAAATCCGATCATCTGTTAGTTAACGTTTACCACAATCGCATTGCAACAATGTATATGCTATTACCTGTGCGATTTTAATTGTGTTTTTATCAGTGATTTTGGTGTTTGTTTTATGTGAGGATTTGTACCTTGTGTGGTGTGGACTGTGAAGCACTTTGTGTTGCCCTGTGGGAAAAGCACTCCATAAAATTGATAGATGAAAAACATTTACAAAACATTTATTTGTATTGCACAGTTAATAGACAAGCTAACTCAAAGTACTCAACAAAACAGGAAAATCTAATAATAATAGTAATGATAATAATAATAATGCATGGGTTTAATTTTGTTTTTTTTGGACACACAAAGAAGCTTCACTGTTCATGATTCATTCACTCTACACACAGTGGTGATAAATGACTACATTATCACAACATTATCAAACAGAGCCTGAAATAGTGAAACGTTCATGTTTCCTCAGTCGCTGAGGTTGATGCTGCACCGAGCGTCAGAGGGCGGAGTCAGCTGCAGCCCGTTACTACGACGACACAAAGACAAACCGGTTGAGTACTTGGACCTGGACCTGCACATCGGACGGACCACGCCCACCAGACAGGTGAGCACACTATTCACACAGAGAAAGGGGTTATTTTTCACCTTTTCAGTTTTTCAGTCATTTCAGGTGACTGCGTTCATCAATCACCAGGACGAGTAAAGCTATTTACAGAAAGTGAATCTGGTCTAGTCTGTTCCTTGAGTCCCGGCATTTCTCTTCATGCCTGCAGTTCCCACGCTGCCTCTGTTTCTTAGCCCCATTCGCACTGGGGGTGGTTAAACTGAACAACCTGAACCTGAACTCCGGCCAACATAACAATAAGTACAGCCTTCTCCCTGTGTATAGTGCTGTGGAAATGTTCTCAATGATCCATGGAGACAGAGTCGTATGGTTTGTGTGGTTTAATTACAGTAAAAAGTACGGATAAAGATTCAAACAAGCATTGCAACGGAGAAAACCTCCTCGGACGCTGCATTAGACTCTGAAGCACAAACTTAATCACATGGGCATGTCCCTCATTGGCCAGTTGCCAGAGAACAAAACACATGCCACACTTTCACAACTGATTACACCAAATTATGTCACTGAAGGAAGGTAGGAAGGGAGGATAACTTTTGGTTTAGTTTAGTTTAGTTTAGTTTATTCCAAGCCGGTACAATACAACACAAGATAAAAAGAAATACATTACGATGCTATACAATATTAACACATCAATAGAAAAGGAAAAAAATAAAAATTAATAAACAGCTTGGAAGGGAGTGGGATGAAGACAAGCTTATCTACTCCCACCCCCATTAAGTTAACTTCATTCACACATTAAAGGAAACAGTCACATCAAAGGAGATGTCATTCACTGTCTTCATAGTGAAACGGATACAAATCTTATCCTAACAAACATTCCCAAATACCTTCTTCTGCTTTATCAACCATCACAGTTCACTCACTACGCTTGAACTGGGCTGCAGTCATTTTTACCATTACAATAGTGCAGATATACAGCTCTGAGCTTGGGGTCATGGTAAAGGACGTCATGCTTCCTTTACCCTAACCACAAAGTAAAATCAGATGGGCTCAGCTGTTTGGTTTTGTTCTTTGTTTAGATCTCAAAAACTTTTCTTTATGCATGAGATCTGACAAAATCGGGGTAAACTCAAATTTGATGGAATTACCATTTCTTAATGTCATGATTGTCATTTTTAGTTCCTGTTTTATTTTTTATTTTTTTGTTCTCATGTGTCTTTAGAGTTTTTCTTCCTATTCTGTTCATTTTCTGCCCCGCCCTAACGTTTTTCATCGTTGTCTCTGACACATTTACTAAGTGCTAAAACTGGTCATTATAAGTGAAATATAACAAAAATGCTGACTTCTGACTGTAAACATTGTGTTGCTATGGTATCTAGCACTTGATTTTCTCTGATGGAAAATGAGTTAAAGGTAGAACCACTCACATTTCAAAAGGAACAGATTATTTCAGAGCAAATATCGACAAAAAAAATACAAATAAACTACATAAAGATGCAGAAAAAGTCACAAAGTTATGAAGACAAAAAATGCACACGAGATGAGTATTTGCACTTCCAAAACTAAAAGCCGTCAAATTGACTGCTCTGGTAATCCTAGTGTTGATAAGCATTACACGTCTTAGATTTTGGGTCAACTGTTCAGTGCGTCAGCTGACTTCAACTGCGTTCCTCTCTGTTCCCAGAAGCGCTCCCCGGCGGAGGGGCAGAGCGGAGAGGAGCCGGCCGCAGCGGAGGACGAGCGTGCACGAGGCGAGCGTGCACGAGTGGAGTACGTGGTGGTGGACCCAAAAAGAACCAAGGCCCTGAGGAACACCAGAGAAGCATGGCATGATGGGAGAATGTTCACAGACAAGGAGAAGGCCTGAGGATCCTCCCCTTCACCAAAATACACTGTATATTATCTGTCAATGATGTCACTGTAGCTTTGAGAAGAGAAATTACTACACTAAAACTTTCTCGGCACATCTATTCAATGATTCAGCCTCATTCCAATGAAAATGACTTGTATTGTTGACAAATTTATTGACCAAACCACAATAGACTTATTTTCCATTATGTGAATCTAAATCATCTGTGTGTTTTCCCTTAAGGGACAAATGGAGGTTTTTATCTTAACCCAAATCATCTGTGCATGAATGAAGTTTCTTGAGTATTTTTTCCTGTTCCTGCTGTGATGATGACTGTGATACACTGAATAAAAAAACAATGTTGAGTCGGTTATTTTTTATTAGCTAAAAATGATAAAAATGCGGGCGGATACACATGAACCAATACAAGCAACAACCTGGAGGAACCCGTATGTGCTCTACAGTTCTGTGTTTTTGAATTCTACTGTATTATATTGTTATTTTAGTGTATTGTGTGTGTGTGTGTGTGAGTCATGTGTAAAAACCGGTTGGAATAAAATAAGCATTTGTTTTTCATCCAACTTCTTTTCAAACCGTGAACTTTGTGTTTTGCAGTTTCAAAATAAAAAGATAGTTCAATGTTACCACTCATAGATGTTTATTTATGTAAATAAATAGATTTCCACAACAACAGATGGAACATTCTGACTTGCACTCATACAAAGTCCAAACAGAGAGTGTGTTTTGGTTTCATTTTGAGCCGGGGCAGTCACGCGGTTGGGAGGAGCTCCATTGACTGGTATTTAATGAGTCACCGTTGACAAATGCGGATAGACTCAGTAAAGAGTCTGACTTCACTTTGAGCCTTTAAACTTCATTCAGCCGCAAGAGAACTTCCTTGACTTCTAATTCACCCTCTTGGAATCACCCTCATATCGGTAAGAACATTTTAAATTGTCCTTATGTATATGTATACATCAAGACAGTTTTAATTTTTTTGAGAGCTAATTGTATTTAAAATGTTTGTTATAGAGTCTGCTGGTGCTGAGGGAGGCCTGTAAACGCTCCCCACTGTTAGTGATTTGTTGGCATGGAATCTTCTGACAAAAATACATTCAAAGTTGACAGGTTCGATAGAAGGTGCGATACATTTGGAGCTGAGGCTACACCACGACCTCCTCTACTACCATTGTCTACTCTGTACAGGGTGAGAGTAGCTCAGTTGGTAGAGCATTGGCCTTTGAGCCGGAGGGTCATGGGTTCGAGCCCGACCTTCACCATCGACTACTGCTGTCTGCTGTTTTTGTGTCCTTGGCAAGACACTTAACCTCTGGGAACACCAGCCACAGTGGGGCGGCTGTGGCTGTAAAGTGCCAAACTGCTGTTGTGTCCTTAGGCAAGACACTTTACCTCCATTGCCTAGAATGAGTCTGGTGTGTGTGTGGATGGTTGGTGGTGGTGGAGGGGCCGATGACACATACTGGTTGCCTCAGTGTGCCCCAGGGCAGCTGTGGCTACAGTAGTAGTTTATCACCACGTGTATGGAGTGAAAGAATAATGACATGTGAGGAGTCTTTGAGTGTCCAAAAAAGCGCTAAATAAAACCGATGCATTATTATTATTACATTGTAAAACCATCAATCGCAATTTCATTTTCTATAACCGTAGAATATAAACAAGTTTCTGAAATGTTTATATTTTTTGGTTTGTAAAGAGCAACCCAGGCACATAGTTGATTGATTTTTAGGAGGCAGTCTTCTAATGGTCAAATGGATTATTTTTACACCCATGTTGGCGTACATTTAGTATACTTCAATATAGCTACAATGCATAATGTCCATAATATTAATGTTTAGGATTTTTAAGCAGATTAGAGAGAGAAAAATGGGTTGCTCGTTGTGTTAAATGTGGCTGGTTTTGGATCTACTGTAGTCCTTTTTTTCTAACAAAATATTAGCATCACGCATATTTCAATGAAACCAAGTAGTCAAATGTCAGCGATTGCATTGTTTCTTGCTAAACCCCAGAAAGTAGATTCCATCAGTAATCAGTGCTTAGGATAAGAAGTAAATATTTAACTGATATAGTCCCTTTAAGCACTAGAATATTTAAATATTAACCATATCTAAATATATTACTATAGCCTCTGTGCAGAAATTGGGAGTCTTGCTTTATAGAATGTGCTATACTAATAAAGTGGATTGTATTTATTAGACCACTAATAAATACAGTCCCTTTCTGTTTCAGCGGACTCGTGCCTTGATCCACCTGAGGTCTTCCCACCTGAGAGAAGATTCCGAGCAGAAACAAGACAAGGAAGTGTAAGAAGGTCCACAGGCACCAGAGACAAACACCATGAGGAAACTTGGGTAATTATATTATTTTATTTTATTCACAGCAGAAATGAACCGAATGACATGAAATGCGTTGAAATACTCACACACACTTATTCAACTGTAGGGATGTGGTCAGAGCCTCACGTTCCTTTCAAAAAGATACCACTGTTTTGTACTTTTTATTTAAACAAAAAGGAAGTCGATAAATGTACAGTAGTTATTTTTCTATTACATTTTAACATGGGGGTTTACCTGTTTTATTCATTTCTACCGTACATAAGAGAACATGAGATGTATTTTTGTTCTATTATATATTTTTATACATCAATATTGTTAGTCGTAGTAGTATTAGTTTTACAATTATTGATATGGATTTTCAAGAAGCCACCCTCATAAGTAGTTGTATCTAAGAAATTAAAATCCAGGTAGTAGTAGTAGTGGTGAATTTTAATCCAAAAAAAGTGAAATGGTACCTCTTTCGCATCACTTGCAACTGAAAGCCAGATCCCACCAGCTGAGGGCCCCACCAGGTCAGGGCCTGGGTAGTATTGTGATGGGAGACCACTACCACAGTAGGGCGGCTGTGGCTTTGTAGTGCCGATCTGTTGTTGTGTCCTGAGGCAAGACACGAGAATGAGTCTGGTGTGTGGATAGCTGGTGGTGGTCGAAGGGGTCATGGCACATAGCGGTTGCCTTGCTTCTGTCAGTCTGTCCCAGGGCAGGTGTGGCGATAGTGAATGAATAATGCCAAGTGATGTGTGTGAGTGTCCTAAAAGTGCTATTAGAAATAAACCAAATGCATTATCTTAATAAACATTGTCAGTGCAAAACATTTTTGGCCAACTCTTGCTTAAGTAATATTGCATATATACGTCTAAAATATTGAATTAATTCAATAACTCTACAACAAAATATCTCTCCACAGGATGAATATTTGGACTTTGCTAATCTTTTGGACATTGATAGGTAAAATGTTGTTTCCATTTTGTTTTCAAAATGTTGTATTTTGTATTCTCTCCCCTGACTGCATCGTGCTTAATCCACGGTTTCCTTTGAGATAAATATTCCTTTGAGGAATGGCACCTCCACAGTGCCTCCGGAGGCCAACCCAGGTACACCTTTATTTGGCAATTTGAGCAGGAGGTTAAAGCTGAGATACTGTACCTAATTTTAAAACAACAAAAAATTGAACAATTTACTACAATCCATGTATATAGTTCCTGGCTCTCTAAAACAGTTAATTTGTGGATATTTTAAGATATAACAAAGGCCAGAACAGTTTTCTGTCTTATGGGGCGTTCACATCGCCAACACTCGAACGCAGCTTCCAGGGCAGAAGTGGCGGGCGGCTTTGATGCTAAATGAGTTAAGCTAGCAGCTTTTTGAGTAAAGTTCTTCTCCAAGAATGCAGCGTCTCCGTGTCCAGAGACTTCATGTAACAGTAGTATGTGTTCACGGAGGTGCACCATAAGTTTATCTTATTATTAACCAGTACTTCTGCATTTGCAAACAAGTTTGCAGCAGCTGTTTACAGTCGCTGCAGAATGAGAACTCAGGCCGGATGCATATGTTCACAAAGACTGTGTCCCCCATTGTCAGTCCTGGTTTAGTCCTGGTTCAGCTCCTGTTTTGGCTGTTTGCGAGTATCTTCAGTCTGCTCGCTCAGACCGCTAGTGACCCCGTGACCACTTTGCAGCTCTCTGAATGGTCGCTGCACGTGTGGCCGGCGGAAAAAAAAATCTCCTGCTTGCGTCGAGTTGCTGCTCTTGCGCCTCCGCCGCACTGCCACGTCTGCCACGCAGTCCGAAGCGTGCATGCTACAATGTACATGTAATTACACGCTCAAACGGAGGCAACCCTTGACTTTGCATCGAAAGTCACAGGGCTCTCTCTTGTATGTAAACTAATTATGTAAACAATATTATTAAATTTAGGTCCCCCAGCTTTAAGGGTTGACGTTAAGGTTTACATTTTTATCCTCGGGAGGAAATTTAAGTAAGGATTAGAATGTCTATCAGGACTTTGGAAGTATTGTTGTTATTTTTCCAAAATGTTTATGGTTGGGAAGCATCATAGCCTGGTCGTACCACACCATAGTACAAATTACATTTCATACTAAGGTCTGGAGGTGCTCCATTGAGCTCCGTTAACAGGTGGAGGGGTTAACTCCTTTTGCAGATTGAAACGATTGGATCTTGGAGTTTACCGTGACGTATGCAGTGAGTCATTAGCATTTAGCATTTAGCCTAGCCATCTCCTTTGCCGCTAACAAAACCCGTGGGGAGTAGCACCACAATTTTTGCCAGTGATTACATTTGCTAAACATTCCTATTGCTCCGGCTTCAATTTCTTGATAGAACTAGACCGGATTACTTTACTATCGCATTTTTCGCCATTGCCAAACTACAACCTTCCCGTTCGACGCAACCTCTTGACGTCATCCACAACTAACTACAACACCTGCCTTCCGCACTCACCGGTAGGTCGGTCGAAATTCAACTGATTGTAAGTAAGTAAGTAAGTAAGTAAGTAAGCTTTTATTTATATACCGCCTTTCACAGACCAAAGTCACAAAGCGGTTTACAATTGTTATTTTTTGGGCACTTGTCCTCTCACTCCTCACAGAGATGGAGCGGGGTCGCCGAACAGGAGGCGCATGCCAGACCTATTGCACATATTTTTAGTGGTAGGGGAAACCGGAGTACCCGGAGGAAACTCCACTCAGAAAGGCCCCGGTCCGGCTGGGATTCGAACCCAGGACCTTCTTGCTGAGAGGCGAGAGTGCTATCCACTCAGCCACCGTGCCGTGATTGTAATCGCTAACACAGAGACCCAGACGTTACATGCAGGGAAATGGTAATTGAACGGAGTGTACGGATGGCTAAGGCCAGGCTGGAAGCATCATGGATGTATGATAATATCTGGATAGGGTATTACTAGCTTGGAGCCGAAGGACCTAGGCTGACTCTCGCCAGACCCTTGTAGTTCCGCCATGCTTCACCAGAGGCTTTTGGCTGAACACAAGGGTCTGGGATCGACGGCAATGCAAAAATAATCGGCCAATCAGGATCGCCGATCTAACGTCGGGTTTGCACCGCATTCTCGTGCGTGTCTCACGCGGCAGTGAAAGCATCCGAGATGGCTTACATAAAGTCGGTGATTTAAAAAATAAAAAAGTTTAAATATGAATTAATTAAAACACGGATGTCACTTTTAATGCAATATGAGGCGAGATGTTGATGGTTCCATGTTGTTATACATGTATTTTAAGAGACAACAATATGTGTAAAGTTTGGTTTAAAAAGCGCCTAAACACCAATCAACTTTTTTTGAACTCATAAAATACATACATATGTTTATTGTAGTGCTCTCTACATAGCCTGGTCATTTTTTTGACATTTTAGTGCAAATTATGTAAAATATCACTTTTGAGCCTAAAAACATATGTGTGGCGCCCTCTCAACCTTTTCAGTGGTACTACATTTGAATTTGGTCCTGGCCTCTCCATTGGACCAGTGCTATAAACCCATTAAACTCTCACAGATGCCCGAGCAGCAGGTTGGAGTATTCTGGCGACATCTAGTGGATTAAAATTAAAATACATGAGTTGACAACCTCTACAACCTCTACACCTCTACCTCTACCTCTAGTTCCCACCTCTACACCTTCTCCACCGACTCCCACTGATGACTGCTGTCGTTGTGTCCTTGGGCAAGACACTTAACCCCACTTTGCCTAAAGCCCCCACTGAAAGATCAAGGCTATGCTCACACTCAGAGAGCAGCTGTCCTCCTGTGGACTCACCACCTGCAGAGGGTCAGTGAGGGGCTGGTGCTATGAGACTTGGGTGGCATCTCTGACTGCCACCCCCCTGACCCAGAAATGGATTAAAGGGTAGAAAATGGATGGATGGATGGAGTTGACAACCACTGCTGCTGAGATAATTCAGTGGCTTGGGTTCAGATGTGTAGACAATTATCTTAGTGTGTAAACAAGGGTGGAATGAACTTACAGCGTTGAAACGTACCCACTCTGACGTCACCAAGAGCTGTGAAGTTTTTTTGTCTCTAAGGGCGTTGCTATGGGGTTATTTCGATTTGGGGGGATCAGACAAAAAAAATAAACAACTGATTTTGAAACCTTTAGTAGTTCTCTTCTAATATAAAATGGTATTAAAACTGTATTTCTAAATAAATCAAACCCGGCATAAGGTCTTTAAGTGTTCCTGTTACAACCAGTGGGAGCGGGTCCCAGCTCAAAAGTGGCCAAAATGACGCTGACATACTGCAATACCACCCCGGGCCGATGGGGGTGGACCCAGAAGAAGAATTAGCCAATGCTAACATATAGCATTGGCAGACCTCTCAAAAACGTCTTTACAGGATGGACCAAAAGTTGGCTCTTGGCCCAAAGCTTCGTTCCACATGTGTGTCAATGCTGAGGGGAGTGAATTTTTTTGGACCACTCTAGTTTACTTGCTGTGAATTTTTGAAGTCTCTCGTTCAAATGAATGGAGCTGCGCCGGCTGACGCATGCGCAGATGCGTTTTTTCACAATTTTCTTGTGGGCGGGACCAGTCGCGGCCATTTTGGATTGCTCCAGTAGAGCACATTTTTTGGCCCATTAGTTAGAACGGCAGAGATAGGCGTGACTCTGTCCGTTAATATATACAGTCTATGGTTACAACACTACACAGCAGGGTTGCCAGGTTGGGTGATTTCCCGTATACTTTTTTTCCAAGCTACTTGAAGGAAGTTAATAAACAGAAAGACAATAAACAGAATCATGATAGCCCAAATTGATTACATAACGTTTTTAGCCAAAAAATCTTTTTTTTTTGTTTTTTTTTGGAATATTCTCACAGGTTTTGGGCTGGGAAATCTTGCCGGCATTTGGCAACCCATGGGAGTCGTGTGCTGAATCGTTTGCTTCTATGTGAGTGGTTGAAGGAACACGTCATTCAAGATAACAGACCCTTGTGTGAAGCTCAGCGAACTACAATCATCTGGCAAGATTCAGGCTATGAAGGACCCACATGCTCAGGGGATTCTCGCAGTACTGAAGACTAAATTCACGTGGGCTTCCCAGAAATGTCCTCCATACAACTCAATGTAAACTAAAAAAGCTCAAACTCAGCTGACAAGGAACCTACTGCTTTCATAAAGGTTAGACTTTGTGGGATTTTAGTCTCCCTCGTCATCCTAAACTTTTTTTCTTCTTAAATTCTTTGGTTTTCTTTAAATCCACAATTTACTGCCACAAACTCGTTTGGATCCTGCTCTAACTCCCGCTCTGGCTCTGCTCTGACTCCGCTCTGATGAGCAGCTCTGATTGGTCAGAGCGGCCGAGCCCCCCTGTGCACGTGCTTGAGAGTCACACACGTATTTGGCGCAACGCATCGTGGAAGCTCGTCCACTGCGCTAATCTTTCGGTCCCCATAGTGGCACATGCGTCAGTGAGCACAAACCTTTCATTTGAAGCATTGTGTATCTTATGAACCGATCTCATCTGTTGCTTTGTAGTTGTATTTTTGTTTGAAAGGTGGGTTAGCCAATCAGTGACATACATTGCTTATCTTTGCAAACCAAGGCCCGGTCCCAATACCCGCACTTTCACCCTCGATCCCCTCATTTGTGCGTATAACATTCAATTTAAACTTTACACCTAGAATGTATAAAAACGTACCAGATAACAGTTACCCACATTTAAAAATAAAGTTATACAGCTATCTCATTTATTCTAACGTGTGTGGAGCAACTCATTAACTACTACTTTTGTTTCCCACAGGGTCAGACGAAATGCCCTTTAATTTGATAAAGTTTAGGTCTGAAAATGAGCATCTCTTGACTAGTCGATGACGTAACCTGCCCTGTGCCAATACCGCCTTTTTTGCACGCTTGTAACCTGTGCACTCAAACCCTTGCGTGCACTCCAAACAAATGCACACTTTGTAGAGGAGTGTAGGGTGCAGTGTGGGTATTGGGACAGGGCCCAAGAGTGTGCATCAGAGAAAGAGAAACTGAAACTTGAGTGAACCACAACCACAGCAGCGGTTTTAACTGACATTTTGATTTTGAAATAAATTTTGCTGAATGGAGTTTACAATGAGTGACATTATTGTGGTTTAATGAGCCAGTTCTCATTAAATAATATTATAACCAATTAAATAGGTGTGATTATTGGAAACCAATTTCACCATAAACATTTGTTTATAAACAAATGTGAAATGTGCCTGTCCTTCTATACATGCTTAATTATGATAATGTTCATGCATGTTTTTTTATTTTTTCAGAGGATGCAGAGGGGCTTAAAGCTGCCATATTCAACTCCCCAGCTGTGATGTCCGGCTTAATTTTCATCTCAGGTGTCTTCCTCATCTGGTGTGTTTTTGTTATGATCCAGGCTCGCACAGAACCAGGTGATTCCCAGCACCAACTGAAGCTTTCAGGCTTTAACATGTAGTTATAAATAATACTTATTATAGTTGGACAATCTAATCCAATCCACTTTATTTATAACACATTTTATAAAACATGTTTCCAAAGTGCTGCGCAGATAAAAGTGACATATTAAATATACAAGTCTGCCAGCTTTAAATAAAAATAATTAGAATAAAGTAAAGAACAATAAAACAAAGCAATTAACTATATAAATAAATAAACATAAAACAATAAAATAAATAAAACGTATACCAATAATAAATAAAATAGAATACAATTCAAAGACCACACAACTCACGCGGTGTTGAAAGCCAGAGCGTAAAAATTAGTCTTAAGACGGGACTTAAAACATTCCAACAAGGGAGCTGTTTTGACGTGGGGGGGCAGAGCGTTCCACAACTTTGGTCCAGACCAGTGGGGGCGGGTCCCGACTCAAAAGTGGCCAAAATGATGTGCGCTGACCATAGACTGTAAAAATTAATGGACAGAGTCACACCTATCTCTGCCGTTCTAACTAATGGGCCAAAAATATTGCTCTACTGGAGCTATCCAAAATGGCAGCGATTAAACTAGAGTGGTCCAAAAAAATTCCCTCCCCTCAGCATTGACACACAAGTGGAACGGAGTTTTGGGCCAAGAGCCAACTTTTGGACCATCCGCTAAAGACGTTTTCGAGAGGTCTGCCAACGCTATATGTTAGCATTGGCTAATTCTTCTTCTGGGTCCACCCCCATCGGCCCGGGGTGGTATTGCAGCATGTCAGCGCACGTCATTTTGGCCACTTTTGAGCCGGGACCCGCCCCCACTGGCGCTGACATGCTTGCAACACCACCCCGGGCCGATGGGGGTGGACCCAGAAGAAGAATTAGCCAATGCTAACATATAGAATCTTCTGACCTATCGAAAACGTCTTTACAGGATGGTCCAAAAGTTGGCTCTTGGCCCAAAGCTCCGTTCCACATGTGTGTCAATGCTGAGGGGAGTGAATTTTTTTGGACCAAATTTTGAAGTCACCCGTTTAAATGAATGGGGCTCTTGCCGGCTGATGCATGCTTAGATGCGTTTTTTCACATTTCCCAGCCCCCGCGGTCATTTTTAATCACTCCATGAGAGCCCAATTTTTGTCCCATTAGTTAGAATGGCAGAGATAGGCGTGACTACGACCGTTAATATATATAGTCTATGGTCCAGCCACAGAGAAGGCCCTGTAACCCCTGGATTTTAGGTCTCGTCTTAGGCACCTCGAGCTGGAGCTGGCCCTCGGACCTCTGCGCGCGGGGCGGGTGGTAAATTTGGATGAGGTCTGAGCCAGCCCGTTCAAAGCTTTAAAAAAAAAACATAAAATCTCAACATTAATTCTAAAATTAACAGGAAGCCAGTGAAAAGAAGCTAAAACTGGAGAAATGTGCTCACGTTTTTTGGTTCCTGTTAAAAGCTGTGCCACGGAGTTCTGGACTAACTGTAAGAGGGAAAGTGCCTTCTGTGATATCCCGCTGTAAAGTGCATTACAGTAGTCCAGACGTGAAGAAATAGAAGCGCGCACGACTTGTTAAAAAAGTTTAAAAGATAAAAAAGGCTTTACCTTAGATAAAAGACGAAGTTGATAAAAACCTGATTTAACGGAGAAGCCTCAAAAGCTCAAAAAATGGACCTGATATGATTTGCCAAAAAAAATTATTTATGTTTTACTTTGACCCTGAGCACTAATAATTGTAGGGTCTGTGCCACTGGAAATAATGCGAATAAATGTTGACCACTTTAATGCATGAATTCTTAATTTTTCTAGAAAAATATTTTCAATCTAAAACAATCAGGGGGTTGGGTAAACTGGTAATGAATGCTTCGAGATGCAAAGAACATGCGGTGACAACATTCAGTGGGTAGTTGGGAAATTTAAATGTAATTGTTGCGCACATCACAGTGGAGTAAAAGCAAATAAAAAAGAAGTCAGATTGCACACATCAAACAGGATCTATTATTTCGGATAATAGACAATGAAATAAAAGAATACAACATTAAAATAGTACAATAAAACTCTTGAGCTATAATTGCACTTGTGAAAAGTCACTGGTGGAGTACACACTGTAGTCAGCAGCGTCATGGGCTGTTTAAAGATGTTTATATTGTACTTTAGCAGCAGAGAATATGACTACAATACACAGTAGAAATACAGCAGCAGGTAAAGTAACTATTTCAGACCAGAAAAATCAGATGAATGGAATGTGTAGTACTGGAGTTGGTTCAATTAATGATTTTGGCTCAATTTAATAAAAAAACAAGACTTTTTTCCATCTTCCCTTCAGCGGTGATCAAATACTCTTGCAGGCATCCACAACTTCAGCCCACCCCACAGACCAAAATGTTCCAGATACAACAGACACGAGTCCTAAGATCATGTCACGTTTGTTTGGACACGTGGTTCCACAAATCTGTCTATGCACAATGTAGCAGAATTGATTTAACCCTTGGCAGTTTTCAGTTTTTGGCTTTAAAAACTTTAACGCAATACAATGGTGTATTTAAAGAAGCATCATTTTGTACCTGCAGTCTGATCCAAACTTTATAAACTCAACCCCTGTTGATATTAATTCTGTCTCCATTTCTTACACACAGCAATTGCAACTGAAGACCTCCCTGAACCTCTGACGGCTATGTTTGACCGATCTGCTAGGCTCTTGACATCAGTTCAGCTTGAAGACAAGGGCGAAGCCAGCTATAACAAAATGAAAAGTGCATACATGTACACAGCGAGTAAGGTTGAAAATCTAGAGAATGTGACTAAAGAGCAGACAAAGTGTGCAACATGGAAAAGATACAGAGCTGGACGTATAACAGCCAGTACCTTTCACAAGGTTGTAACATGCAAGGAGTCCTCCTGTCTAAGTGTTGTCAAGCAAATAATGCAGTATGGAGATAAAGAGCTCACTGTACCAGCAGTAGTGTGGGGAAGACAAATGGAAGACACTGCTTATCAACAATACCTCACAGATATGGAAAGAAAACACATTAACTTTAAATTGAAGAAAGTGGGTTTAACAGTGAAAGCAGATGAGCCATACCTGGGTGCCTCGCCTGATGGAGCTTTTTCCTGTGACTGCTGCGAAGCAGGTGTACTGGAGATTAAATGCCCATATAAATACAAGGAAGGACTAAAGGGGTCAAGACAGGATAAATCCTTCTGCCTTGATGGTGAAAATAAATTGCGCACTAGCCATAAATACTATGCCCAGATTCAACTACAGATGTATGTTTGCAGAACATCTGTGATTTCATGGTGTGGACCCAGACAGACACCATTACTCGTCGGATAAAAAAAGATGAGCCTTTTCTAAAAGAGAAACTTCGCAAGGCCGAGCTCTTCTTCATGAATTATCTCCTTCCAGAGCTCATCTGCCGCTACCAAGACCCCCAACTGGCTAAAGAGATCAGTTCTCTGCACTGCGAACAGCCTAGTGACATGATCAAGTGCACTGACTGCTACCAAATGTTTCACTATACATGTGTGAACATTCCCAGTGGATCCAAACCCAGGAAATGCGGCTGCAAAGACATGTAAACAATGCCTGCAGATATAGTACACAAAATAAAAGTAACTGACTTTGTTCAGATGGTGTGCCTTCGATACAGAATTCCCTCCAAACAAAAATGATTGCGTTTTTAAATCTTGGGTAAAGAAGGGTTTGACCACTTACTGGTCATTTACAGAGAGAAATGTTTTTCAAAGTTTTCAAGGATTACAGACAAGACACAATTTTCAAACGGTAGAATTTTTTAGGTACCTCCAGGTCCGACATAACTTTAATTCTAAATGTAAATCAGCTAATTTTACTCACTCTGAAGAAGAGTTTTTTAAAATACTAAAGTCAGCATATGGGTCTATGTTACAAAAACTGATTTCGAGAATTTACAAAGCCATATTTACAATTGACAGATGTGAGACTCTATACAAAGCAGAAATGAAAATGGAGGCAGCAACGGTGATATCAGAGGATGAATGGGCTCGTATGCTGGCTTTCCAGTGGACATCAACTGCCTCTCTGACCTGGAGAGAACACTGTTGGAACAATATCATTAGATATTTCAAAACTCCAGTTCAGGGCAAACACAAATGACTTGCCATGCTGGAGACAGTGTGGCACAGTTATGGCAAATCATTTTTGATCATATTTTGGTCGTGTTCGAAATTACAAGGGTATTGGAGAGAAATTCAGATAAGCCTGAGTTCAGTGTTTGGTGTTGTCATTCCTTTTAACTTTGAGTGTTTGTATTTGGGTAAAGTTACCTTCCTGGAAATAAGAAGTGACAGAAAGTTGCTACAAATCCTCCTTGCAGCAAATAAAATGAATATTACTAAGAGATGGCGGACTCCCACACGGCCCTCTCTTGACGCTGGATTGAAGTAGTATTTGAGATATATAAAATGGAAAAGTTTACCTATATTATATACATTAAAAAAGATACATTTTAGTGCATTTGGAAAGGGATAATTTTATTAACCCAACTTTTTCCCCATTTGTTAGAACATTTATTGTATCCTTTACCTCATGTACACTACTCCAGTTTTTATTATTTTTTTCTTTACTCTTATTTTCCTTTCTTTTACCATTAACCTTTTATATGGGCATAATTTGTTTATAAGCCCATCATTGTTAAAATGGAAATTTCTGTTACATTTTGTTATTTCCAAATAAAATATGAATACAAAAAAAAAACAACAACATAAAAGTGACTGAAGGCAGAATTACAAAATAAGACTCAACACAGTTTACAGTCGTTCATACACCTTGTACAGCTTTCTTTAAAAAAAAGAAAAACAACTGTCATATTCAATTCAAACCTGCAGTGTGCATTTACATTTTGATGTGTACATGTATTCTCTGATTGCATTTTGTTCCATTCTTCCATTCCTTCAGTATATTATTTATATTCAGTACCTTCAATTTCAAGTAAACAGTACTTTCCATTGTTCATGCAGCGCCTGTTATGATTGAATAAAGATAAGAGAGATTTGAGCTCATATAATAATATTTGATGAGAATGACTTTGTGTTGTTAATAAAAGCTGCAGAGTTTCGTGTTTGTGTTTCTGGTTTAGAAAAGTCAGTACTCACTGTTCAGGACCTGGGGTACCTAAACTTTATACCACAAAAAACACAAGATAGCCTGGTTTCTAACAACATGAAAAGAGGATTCATGAGAAATAAAAGTTAGGAATCCCAGCTTTAAAACATGTTCATATAATATAACAGAGATTAAACTAAAAAAGTAGAATGTTGTTCAATAATACATTTATTTCTGTAATTCAACATAAAAAGTGAAACTATTATTTACCTATTACACAGTGATTTATATAGAACTGTGAGCCAAGGATTAAGATGATAGCAAGTACGTATATAAGGTTCATATTTACAAAAGTAAATGTTCTTTTGACCAGTATTTAATCTGTTTTTGATGAGGTGAAGATGATTGATGTGAAGCCACCATGGTAAAGCATAGACTTGCTCCAGATAGTCACTCACACATCTACATTGTATTAATTTTAACACCACCATCTGCTCTACCAACTGAGCTACTAATGTATTTCAAACTGAAGTCCATAATGACAACAACATCCCCACAAAATAATATATTTGAGAACGCAGTAGGTTTAAAGGTATATAGATTGGTCCTCCTAATTGTCAATCATTCTGTTGATATGTGACGCAAGGCTGCAGTATGTGCTCGTTAAACTAGTGTTTTTGGGAGATTCTTTCACATGATGGCGCTGAAAGCCCAGGCTGGACTTCCCACTGATGCTTCAGTCGCAAAGTTTATATTATACTATTTTGTCTATATTGTGGAAAAAGTGCTAATCTTCTTGGAAAGTGAGCTTTGCGAGCGATGTCAACAACAGTGACATGTAAACAGAGCGTGCACAAGGAGAACTGGACTCGTGCACGTCTCTCCCACACGTTTTAGTCGGCGTTCCCTCTGGAGCAGGTAGAGTGTTGCACATGTGCATTTTTTCAAAAAGTGCATTGGGCAGTTCTTTCCTAAAATTTGTGAAAATACCTTTAACAAGAGCAGAGGACAGGCAGTGGGTTCATCAACGGCTTGTTTTCATTTTCCGGCGCAGATACAAGAGGGAAAGGAGGCCATTGACTGGAGCAATGATAATGACTGAACTCATTAAAGTTCTGCACAGGTGATGTGGTCCAAGTTTTGACATGGAGTAGAAGGCTAAATACACCACCATTCCAAGCATCTTGACAAAAATCAAACAGGTAATAAGTAAAATTATATGGAATGCTTTCAACTTTGATTGGTCGTCCTTTTTCCCATTCGGCCCTGGACGTTTCAAAATGTAAAGCGAAGCTGAGCAAAAGTACAGAACAAATACAGTACATATGACAACAGCCGCCATGATTCCCTTGGCAGGTAAGTCAGGGAAAATAGTCAGCACAAGTGGTATCCAAAGAAACACAATTAACCAATTCAAAGCAATGACAATATTTCGGACAAAAACTGCTCTGGATTCTTTTAGATTTCTGTACGTTATTGGGTGAACTACAGCCAAATATTTATCCACACAAACGGCGCATTGGAACAGGCTCTCACCAAAAAAGTACATAACAAACAAGCAGAAGCTGATCTTAAGCATAGGTATAGAACAAACCCAACAGGCGGCGGTGAAGAGTATGCAGCAGAAAACACCGGTAAGCTCAATCCCAGCCAGGTTGTAGGTGAGGATGTCGGAGGTTGTGATGAGGGAGAGCGCCCCCTGCTGTTTCTTCCATTGTTTGAGCCCACACAGCAGAACAAGGATGAACAGTGGAGACAGCAGGATATTGACAGAAGCGTACACCAGGGTAAGGCTCAGGGTGATCTGGTCGTCCAAGCAGTCCAGGATGGTGAATTTCCCATTAGTGTTGTTCTGGGCCTTTAAACATAGAATCAAAAAAGTTGGCATACTTAACGTCTGTGGACTCATACAGTTCAGTGAGTATATTTGCAATGTGAACACCATAACTAAATCATTAGTTTGAGACAATGAGACACCGTTTGCATTGTTCTTTGAAGTTTGTATTGGCAGTTGTGGGTTTGAGAAAGGTCCGTCAGGCCCAAGCCAGCTCCTGTAGAAGTGTGGCCCCAGAATTCTGGCTAAAGTCTTGCAAAAGTCTCAGATTCAGATTCAGATTCATTTATTTGCCATTTGCAGTAAAACCACATTGGAAAAACTGTGCAAGACTACCCAGTGTGCACCAGACGACACACACCAGAGCTCTTGCCACGGCGCCATCTTTAAAGTCTGAGTTTACAATCAGGGGGATTGCGCTTATATAGGCCTTGAAAACGTATGTAGCACTGGATTTTCGAGTATTTGCTGATGCAGGAGGGTCTAACATAAGGACAGTGGGGAGGAGCCAGGACACTCAACATTCAACAACATTTATAGACATTTATCAACATACATGTCTGATCATTGGGCATCTACCCCTTATGGACCAATGGCTTTTTGTGTTTTTTATTGGTGCATTTCTTGTGTTTTAACTGTTTGATTCTCTGATCTGTGTTGACAAATTCAACGGTTCAGTTAAGTCCTCCGAGATAACTGCTGTTGGGATTTAGGGTTATACAAGCATACATTGAATTGACCTGAATGTAAACAGACTTTGGAAAACCTGACTTTTCAGAGTGACCGTATGTACTGAGCCCGTAGGTATAGAAATCATAACAAGATCACATGACTGGGAGATGAACATATGGCCTGTCAATGACCAAACCAATGTATACAATATAGATATGCTCTGTTGTATACATTGGTTTGGTCATTGACAGGCCATAATTATGTTCATCTCCCAGTCATGTGATATTGTTATGCTATTCTATACCTACGGGCTGTACTGTACATTGATGCCTCGTAAGCATTTGAATGTACAGCTATAAGTATTTTTTTGACTCGATAGAACACTACAATAGTATCTAAATATTTACATAACTCACCTACTCTGTTTAATTCAACGAATCCAATCAGTTGTGGTCTAAAAATCTAAAAAGTCCATAAAGACTTGAATGCCTGTGTTTCCTTCCACATGTGACCAAAACCCCATGCACTCTCTCTCTTATTTACTGTTTGAGTGGTAACAAAGCAAAGTTACGAGACGTCTTTGAAAGTGTCACAAGGGCAGATGGAGACTGCATCGGTTCTGATAAAGCATTTGATAAGCATGTATTTTGTTTCTTTACATTCGTTCTCCATTTTCTTCTGCTTTGTTTAGGTACTCAGTTAAATCAAAGAATCATTTGATGTTTATTTCATTTGGTATTATCCATATGTCTTTTTCTGAAATTAATACAAAATTAAGTTAATTAAATGAAAAATTGGAAGACACTTAACTGGATTACACAGGTGAAAAACTGAAAATTAAAATATTGTTCAAAAATGTACTTCATCTTACATGCAAAGTGAGATATATCATGCCATTATTTGTTACAGTTGATGATTGGCTCACAACTGTCTATTTCTTATATTGGTTCCACATTCCAAGTTAAATGACATCAATTAACTTCCACTGTCCGAGTTTCACATGTAATCAATTTTTAAGGAGAAAATGTCAACAGAACTCACCTGTTGTGAAGTCATCGCTGCTGCTGATCCGTGTAAACGTGTTTGATAAAAGATTACACAAGATTTTCCTTTGGCGAAAACCACAGATGACCAGCATCCACACCATCAGGCTCTTCATGCAAATCAGCCACTATTGACCATGTAAAGTGCTCTTGGAAAGTTGGCTGTAACAAAAATATAGGCAAATCCACAAAACGTGATATTTTTTTGTCCTGAACCAATATTGTTTTGATTCTGAATTCAAAAACCCAATAACTGCAGAATGTCTGTCCAAAAAAACAACTGTGGATGTTCTATGTGCATCCACAACTACCACAAAAAAAGAATTCAAGCTTCATAGACGTTAAAGGGGAAGTGCGAGCTTTTGAGAACTAAATTCTAATCATGGTCAGAAGATTTTCAGTTATTATCATTTTTATCATGTCATCAGTATTATTTGATCATATGCATTTGTATCAATCTCATCACCAGTGACTAGTGAAGAAGTATGGGCGCTTGTTTAATGGAAAAGACAGAAATTTAATCAATCACTTAATGCCAGGACTCTCTTCCAAATATCCAAAAAGTTTTATTTTCTATCTTTAGTGATTGTAGAGTTTACAACAATTAAAATAGAAAATGGATTTTCAAAATACAGTAGTGACAGTTGGTAGACAGTAGCTCAGTTGGTAGAGCATTGGCCTGAAGGTCGTGGGTTCAATTCCCACCTCTACACCTTCTCCACTGACTCCCACTGATGACTGCTGTTGTTGTGTCCTTGGGCAAGACACTTAACCCCACTTTGCCCAAAGCCCCTGCTGAAAGATCAAGGCTATGCTCACACTCAGAGAGCAGCCGTCCTCCTGTGGACTCACCACCTGCAGAGGGTCAGTGAGGGGCTGGTGCTATGAGACTTGGGTGGCATCTCTGACTGCCACCCCCCTGACCCAGAAATGGATTAAAGGGTAGAAAATGGACGGATGGATTTTCAAAATAAATCCAACAATCATTTTTGTATTTTATTTTTATCCTGCTACTGCACACTTAAATTTCTCCTACGGGGGATCCATACAGTATCTATCTATTACAATGAATAATTTATCCTAACAACGTTTCCTTGACTACGATCCCAAGCGTCCATTTCAGTAGACACCAAAAACAATGAAAACATTCACATTTTATACAAAATAAAAAGCCTCCAACCGACCTGGTCTCTAAATGGTATAAACATTAAAAAAAATAAACAGTTGATATAAACTGTTATCCAAATATAAACACCAGATTTGTAGAGAGTACTAAACCACCAGTTTTTTTTAGCAGAAAATGGTGAGTTCACGTTTCAGTGTGAGTAAATAAGAGTCAGAGCTTTTAGACAGAAGGGGCAGAGTTACATGTTTGTGCCAGAATGCGGATGGATTGAAAAACTAAAACAATTGAGGTATACATAGTTAACACTAGAATTCCCAATATTGTGAAACCACTCAAACCTCGAACCGCCAATTTAATTTTGAGATACTCCCATTCAATCCCTTACTCACTTTTGTGCCAAAGTTGGTTAATTGAAACTGAAATAAAACGTTTGTTGAAAGGCTAAACACAATGCACAGAAACAGTGTTGCTACGGTTACTAGCATAAGCTGTTTTCTGGACAGCTCAGAACCAAAACCTAAAATAGGGGCTCTGGGAGTTAAAGGTATAATGTCACATTTTCATATATATAATGATATGGAAATAAAACATAAAGATTTAGAGAAAGTCATGGTATTCATAGTTTTGAAGACCACAAATGTACGGAAGCTGAGCAATTACGCCTCCATAACTGAAAGCCGTTTAATTGGTCGGGAGTTCCAGAGCAGTCAGAAAAGAAACCCAACATGTTTTAGCAGCGCAAGAAATTCCCACACCCTCCACAGTTCATCTTAAACCACTGAGACGTGCAGTTTACGCTTTGCAAATGTCACGAGTGTCTTCGTGGCTCCAGCTCTGTGCAGGAAGAGCAGCGGGAGAACGAGGTTGCTGGGAAGAGTAAACCACAGAGACACCATAGGTAGGAAACACATGTTTTCATCCATTACGTTGAGAAAATTCAACACAAAGACCACGAGTCCAGCTGCGAACCTAACCAAGAGCGTGGCCAGTATGAAGAAAATGGTATAGAAGGCGACTCTTTTGGATCTGTCTGGTCTCGTATTCGCCCCAGGCTTTGGACGAATCAGGGCGCGAAGAACAGCGATGGTGCAGTGGGCGATTATGACAAGCGACAAAATTACCAATACAATTCCAGTAACTGTTGTGTACAGATCGAATTGGAATTCAGTAATGCTGTTTAAAATCAAAGACAGCCAGACCAAAGCTATGATGATGTTTCTGTACGTAACTTTGGGCTGTTTCTTGAGACAGAGGTAAACTACAGGGTGGACTACAACCAAATACCGATCTATACAAGTGAATGTGTGGAAGAAAACCTGTCCAAAATTGTTGAAAACAATCAAACCAGTGCCAATTTCCTCGACGATATGCGTGACTTTGACGTAGAAGCTGATAAGGGATATGATCGCGCCTGTAACAGCTATCATCTCCAAGCCCATGAGGTTGTAAGTGAAGGCGTCGGAGTGGTTGACGTTTCCATTTCTTCCATTTCTCAAATCCAAAGTAAAGGACCAGAAGGAAAAAGGGAGAGCACAGAATGTAGATCGTGGCCCAAGCCGTGAAAATCGCCCCTCCATCTCTACTGGTGCATATTCCCATAAAGAATGAAAACTCGCTTGGAGAAGACATCTTAACCAACGGCTCCATCCTTCGAATACGCCCGAAAAACTCAGGTGCAGATACAACACACATAAAGGATGCAGCAGGATTCACCTTGTTTGCACTGTAAATGTGTGAGATTTGAATTAAATGTGTAACCAGAGGAGCTTTGTGCATTTTTTACACGGACAGATAATGATAGATTCAAATGAAAAGCCTTCTCTGTCCATGTATCAACGGCTCATTACCTGCTGCTCACCATAATAATGAAAGCACGGGAACATGGCTGCCATAAAAGTCCTACTCTGCAAAAAGTGACGGAAAAATAAGATTCAGATTCATTTATTTTCCATTTGCAGTAAAACCCAAATGAAATACATTTGCAAACTCCCCAGTGTGCACAAGACAAGTACAGAAGTAAAACAAGGTTAAAAGTACAGAAATAAAATAAACAAAACAGTAGACAATTGACACTGTGAACTTGATATCAGCAAGAAAAAATAAGTTAAAAGTTGCACAAATTTTTGCTAAATTTATCTGTATTTCAGCAAATTTTGACTTCTTTAAAAGAAGATTTGCCAATGGGACCAGCAACAATATCTTGTTTTAAAAAGATACAAGAAATGTCTCCGTTGGATTTTGAAAATAAAGCAGCAGTTCTTTAGATAAGACTAAATGGCTTTGTCTCATTGGCAAATCTTGTCAGAATTAACTAAAATTAAGAAAATAAAACCAACTCCATTCAAGAAATTATTGTCTCATATTTTAGGATTTTTTGCAGTGTATGAGCACGGAGCTATCGCTGACGGACATTTTCAAATCACAAATGTGGAAGACCAGAAGTACTGTAAACAAAGAGATTTAGTATTTTCAACTCTTTCATCAGTCCATCAGTAAGAAAAGAGAACGAGGGACATTAAATGGAAATGAAGGCTAAAAGCATATTTGATGGAGATGTATGTATTTATTCACTTGACAGGGATATTTCAAGATAAATTGTACTGGTGGCATGGTGCTATGAGACTATGGTAGCAGCTCTGATTGCCATCCCCCCGACCCAGAAATGGACTAATAAAGGGGCAGACAATGAAATAAGAAATTGTACTGATCAAATAATACCATGGAGCTAATTTCATTCCCAAAATTGTGAAACCACCTGAAATTCCAGAAATTCAGGCCAATTTAATTCTGAGACATTCCCATTTGCTCCCTTACTCACTTTTTGTGCCAAAGTTGGTTAATTGAAACTGAAATAAAACGTTTGTTGAAAGGCTAAACACAATGCACAGAAACAGTGTTGCTACGGTTACTAGCACAAGCTGTTATCTGGTGGGGGTCAGCTGAGAACCAAAACCTAAAATAGGGGCTCTGGGAGTTAAAGGTATAATGTCACATTTTCATATATATAATGATATGGAAATAAAACATAAAGATTTAGAGAAAGTCATGGTATTCATAGTTTTGAAGACCACAAATGTACGGAAGCTGAGCAATTACGCCTCCATAACTGAAAGCCGTTTAATTGACTGCTCTGGGAGTTCCAGAGAAGTCAGAAAAGAAACCCAACATGTTTTAGCAGCGCAAGAAATTCCCACACCCTCCACAGTTCATCTTAAACCACTGAGACGTGCAGTTTACGCTTTGCAAATGTCACGAGTGTCTTCGTGGCTCCAGCTCTGTGCAGGAAGAGCAGCGGGAGAACGAGGTTGCTGGGAAGAGTAAACCACAGAGACACCATAGGTAGGAAACACATGTTTTCATCCATTACGTTGAGAAAATTCAACACAAAGACCACGAGTCCAGCTGCGAACCTAACCAAGAGCGTGGCCAGTATGAAGAAAATGGTATAGAAGGCGACTCTTTTGGATCTGTCTGGTCTCGTATTCGCCCCAGGCTTTGGACGAATCAGGGCGCGAAGAACAGCGATGGTGCAGTGGGCGATTATGACAAGCGACAAAATTACCAATACAATTCCAGTAACTGTTGTGTACAGATCGAATTGGAATTCAGTAATGCTGTTTAAAATCAAAGACAGCCAGACCAAAGCTATGATGATGTTTCTGTACGTAACTTTGGGCTGTTTCTTGAGACAGAGGTAAACTACAGGGTGGACTACAACCAAATACCGATCTATACAAGTGAATGTGTGGAAGAAAACCTGTCCAAAATTGTTGAAAACAATCAAACCAGTGCCAATTTCCTCGACGATATGCGTGACTTTGACGTAGAAGCTGATAAGGGATATGATCGCGCCTGTAACAGCTATCATCTCCAAGCCCATGAGGTTGTAAGTGAAGGCGTCGGAGTGGTTGACGTTTCCATTTCTTCCATTTCTCAAATCCAAAGTAAAGGACCAGAAGGAAAAAGGGAGAGCACAGAATGTAGATCGTGGCCCAAGCCGTGAACATAACTTTTCCATCTCCTCTGGTGCATATTCCCATAAAGAATCCAAAGTCGCTTGGAGAAGACATGTTAACCAACAGCTCCATTCTTCGAATACGCCCGAAAAAATCAGGTGCAGATACAACACACATAAAGGATGCAGCAGGATTCACCTTGTTTGCACTGTGAATGTGTGAGATTTGAATTAAATGTGTAACCAGAGGAGCTTTGTGCATTTTGACAGATAATGATAGATTCAAATGAAAAGCCTTCTCTGCCCAAGTGTCAACGGCTCATTACCTGCTGCTCACCATAATAATGAAAGCACGAGAACATGGCTGCCATAAAAGTCCTACTCTGCAAAAAGTGACGGAAAAATAAGATTCAGATTCATTCCACAAATGTGGAAGACCAGAAGTACTGTAAACAAAGAGATTTAGTATTTTCAACTCTTTCATCAGTCCATCAGTAAGAAAAGAGAACATGGGACACTGACTGGAAATGAAGGCTAAAACCATATTTGATGGAGATGTACAGTAATTATTTATTCTAGGGCTGTCAAACGATTAATTTTTTTTAGTTGATTAATCGCATAGTAATGGTGAGTTAACTCACGATTAATCACATTTTTAACATTCTATTTCAAATCCACTCCAATTGAAGTTAAATGAGATTTTCAAATGTAATGACACATTGTTATTCATACCAAATGTACTTAAATCTGTTTGACTTGCTCACAACCTTCTACTTTTGGGTACAACCAACAAGAGCTGTTAATGAAAGGGAAAATGTAGGTACCCCAGCTTTAATTTCGCGAGTTTGGTTGCATTTCAGCGTGTCTCCTCCTCTCCTCCGTGTCCGTGTGTCACACAACATCAGAGAATGGCCCCTGTGTGTGTATATATATATATGCGTGTATCATATGACCACGTTACTGCTGTCACCATCACACACACGCACGTGTCCGTGGCATTCTGAGTGATATTATTATAAATGGGCGGGTCATTCGGACATGCGATTGACTGCCAGCCTATTTCAGAACAGGTACTCCCATATTGCCAGCCGTTTCTGATGATTTTTACTGAATTTTCAAGACCCACAGAATATTGTGTACTATGACTATCTGAAATCTAATACCATATTCTGAAAGAATGGACTGTCTACGTTTATCAGCAAAAATAATTTTGTTTCTAGCTTGTTTCGTTCCCCTGTAATCCCCAGTCGAGTAGAGGTAAGTTTTATTGAAATCACCAGAAAGCTGAGAGAAAAGAGGCACATGTTTTCAAACCATTCATAGAGCAATGCTGCCATCTGCTGGCTTGATAAAATATTGCCTCAAGCCTTACATATTTGATACAATAGACATCTGGGAACGTGAAAATAGCGGGAAACGCAATTGACGTGTTACCTTAACGCGTTAATTATTTTTTAACGCGTTAATGAAAACGGTAATTAACGTGAATTAACGCGATAATTTTGACAGCCCTCGCTTGACAGGGATATTCCGTGATAAATTGTACTGATCAAATAGTAGCTTGGAGCCCATTTTCATCTGCAGTCCTTAAATGACCTATCGCTAAGCCACGCCCCCTCCACCTACCGGACAGCCAGCATTCTGCGCACCGTGGCAGAGACTTCTCACAGCTGGCAATTGAGAAATATTGGATACAGAACTATGTTATATCTCTAATTCACCAGGAGGTCTTAGGGGACTGGTGAAACTACGTGCTGCAATGCTTGTTTTGGAATGATGCTCCCGCTGGTAGCTCTCAGAACTCTAAAATGGACGATTAAAGTGGTGATAAAGGTGAAGAGGCTATATATGAGGCTGATATCATCACATAGAGCACAAAGCAGGAGAGAGGAGAGGGAACTTCCAGTAAATGGAGGTTCAGCCTATGGCTTTGTGTGGACTTTAATGTTCACTCCTTGGAGAAACCAATGAAAAAATGTGTTTGATTTTCTAAGATGTAAAATTACTCACAACAAAAATTGTTAGTTTTTTTTGTGGAGCCCCTAGTTTTGTTTTAATTATAGGCATCTACCAAAAGGTTGAGATGCAGTTTGATGGTAAAAGTGCTTCAATCCAAGTGATGGAGATGCCCCAATGGGGTAGATTTTAGTTCCAAGCTAATTTCAAGAAGATATAGTAACTCAAAATCAAGGGTTAAAAGTGTAGAAGTAGTGTAGGTGCCTTTCTTATTGCGATGCAAAATTATCAGCCACATGCGTCGCTGAACATTATTATTTGTATGTTAGTATATCCAGAGCGCTTTGGGTCGGCAACAATCATGTACATTATTGTAGAAAAACTCTCACGGATATAAGACCAACGGACTCCTATACAGTAAATATTTATGTAATCTTAATAAACGACTGCAGCGGTCTCATGCTCTTGTTGTATTAGTGAAAGCTCTTGAACGGATTCAAAATGCAAATTCACAAGACAAATTACGACAAGATGCAAATATGTTCACAAAACCCAGGTGCTGGATTTTAAGTATTGTCCAAACCAAGCCTTTCCCTTCACGCTTTCACCCTTTGGCGGTTTTAATGATCATTGCTGGATATGGATTAACAAATTGTAAATAGCTCGCTGCCGCTTTTCCACTAGCTTCTCAAAAGTTTACACCCGTACACTCATGATTCGTGTCATTTGATATCCATGTTTACCATAAAGATTTAGCTTTGTGCTCTTATACCTGAATGGATAAGTTTTATCTATTGTTATTAGGATTCTGCTTGTGAGTTATTGTCGCACACACACATTTCACTTTAATTGGACTCATTCTTGGGCAAAAGGTCCACCACCATGGATGAGTCTGCTTTGGTTACTCACTGACTGTGGTCCATTCACATCCTTCGAAACAGGTCTAAGAAGTTGAAAAACAAAAATACCCTTTTCCATGGAAAATGAAGACAGGGTGAAATCCGAGGCACTCTGATAAAAGTCCTTTAATTGAGAAGGGACCAACGCATTTCAGCCACGCAGGGCCTTCTTCAGGGCAGTGTAAAAAACATGCTGAAATAACAGGTGTTAAAATAGACTCATGACGTCCACTGAAATAACAGGTCTATGAAGTATTTGAGCCAAAACGACAAAACGAACCTTACTTGGTCCAGTTAATGTGAACCAGAGGGACAATCTAAAGCCTTCGAGCTCGATGAAGTCCAATAGGGAAGTGCTCATGGACAAAGTTTTGCTCAAACTCACTATGGCTCCTACACAGATCAGAGAATCAAACAGTAAGGAATCAAAGGTATTAAGGAGGCTTGTGTTTTTTTCCGGAATGATCTTCAAGGCTATTGGTCCTCCTCATCGTCAGTTATTCTGCTGAGATGTGACGTAAGGCTGTAGTATGTGCTCGTCAAACAAGACCAGAGTATTTTTCTGAGGTTCTTTCATGAAATGGCTTGCACTAAAAGCCCATTTCATATCACTTTCAGTAAAAGTGATCTACGTCTATATTTTCTGACATAGTGGAAAATGCGCAAATCTTCTTGGAAAGTGAGCTTGTGTGAGCGATGCCGACAGTGTCTTGTAAACAGAGCGTGCACGAGCATGTTTCTCGCACAAATCCTCCTAAATACCTTTAATTGTGCATATTGTGTGATTTTGACTACACTTTTCACGTGTTTCAACTTTTGACAGAATGAACGAGTCCGTGGATCCCCGCACTACGGTTTGTGTGTACGTCTACACAGTATGGAACGCCGTGTACGTGTTGCTAGTTCCTGTTTTTGGAGCTGTCATCTTTGTTGGATGTCAACAATGGAGGAAACCGCAGTCTTCAAATCGCGTCGATCTGTTCACCTTTAATCTGGCGGCTTTGGACATGATTGGAGTGGTGGGCGCTTGCCTTCTCACTGCCTCTTCGTTCAGGTCACAAAATACTCCATACATGGCCAGTTCATGGGAAATGTTGTCTTTTATGCAACGATGTGGACAAATATTGTTTCATAATCTGTTTTGTGTGGAGCGTTACTTAGCTGTGGTTCACCCCATCACTTACCTACGCTTGAAAAAAAAAGAAAATGCAATAAAGTACAGCTGTATTGTTGCTGCTTGGCTGATTACAGCTGTTATTATCATACTGCAACAAAACCATGCTGTTTATTTAACTTTTTTCTATGCGTTGGCAGTAGCCTCACTATCTCTGGTATCGATCACTTTCTTTTGCGCTAGCGTTCTCTGCGTTCTGATTCGTCCAGGCCCCGGGGAAAGAAGCGGCGACAAGAGACTCACCGACCAATCAAAACGAAGGGCTTTTTGCATCATGGCTGCCATTACCCTGATCCTGCTGTTGAAGTTTATCACCATGTTTGTATCGTACTTCTTTTACATGCTGGATTCTCTGGATTCCTTCAAAGCATGTGTGTTGGCGGTGTTTACTCAGTGGATGAACACTCCGAGTAGCGTGGTGCTGCCGCTGATTTTTCTGCATCAACAAATGAAGCTATGGAAGCAGAGCAGAAGGACACAATGACAAGAGAGAAAGTTAGAAGCGCACAGTAGGGCTGAGTGGATAGTACTCTCGCCTCTCAGCAAGAAGGTCCTGGGTTCAAATCCCGGTTGGAACAGGGTCTTTCTGAGTGGAGTTTGCATGTTCTCCCCTTGCCTGTGTAGGTTTCCTTCGGGTACTCCGCTTTCCCCTACCACTAAAAACATGCTCACTAGGTTAAATCCTCCAGCTCCGGTCCTGACAAAGCCGAGCTTTGGAGATGGGTTCCCGGGCACTGTACTACAACGACCACTGCTCCTGACGTAAGCCTTCGCGGCATCAGGATGGGTCAAATGCAGAGGATTGAATTGCCTTACGGGGATAAATAAAGTGCTTCTTTACCTTTAGTAGTATTTGAAGATATTTTGGTGTGGTGTGGTGTTAATAGTAGTACTATTAGGACATGTTATTTTATTTGAATCATTATTTACATTTGTTTATTACCAGACCAGCCTTAAAAGATATAACGCATAATATGGGCACAAAATAAATCGTGTTTGTATAAGTTTCTTACCTTTGGTCTTCTGCTGCTCTAACAAATTAGACTTTCCCCATCCTTGCTTAGTCTCTTTCTCTCCGTAAGTCTTCAGTGAAAAAGAATATCCACTTGTATTTCCCAAAGTATAATCCAATCTTCAGAAAGAATCCAAAAATGTGCATTTTTCCGTTGCAAAAAAAACGCTCCGAAAAATTTTCAGGCTTCTCTTTCACATTTCACCAAGTTTGAGCTTTGTTTACCCCCACAAACATCATATCGACTTGTTCTTTGAGTCCTTAGCTTTAAAAAGAGAGGTTCCATGAAAAGATAGGAGTAGGTTTCAGTCCGCAGGACCCTTGTGAAAAAGACAAACCGCATCCACTTGCAGAGGGTCCGTTTTTGCCTTGTTGTTGATTACAGGCTAGCGCAATGTGCTAGCACTGAATGATTGACGTTTCTAAGTAGCCAATAAAAAGAGCTTTCTTTTGATGGGTGGGACTTGTAGGAACTCTTTTCATTTTCACAGTAAAAGCGTGCGTAAAGACACTGTTAGTAATATTTTATATATTTTTTATATTTTGAAAATATGTAAAAGAAAATCACACAGATTTGTAACGTATAAGTACCAAAACAAAAAAATATGCTTTTTATGATGGTGAAATGTTAGTAAAGCAGTTTGGCACAATTTGACAAAAAGTTGGCCAAATTGGTTCCGAATGGCAGAAACTGCATAAAAACTATAAAACTTAGAAGTCTGAAACTTTACACAGTTGTTGTCAACAACACAATGAACAAATTAGCGTTGAACATTTTCTTCTTCCAATGAAGTAGGCTTTTTTAGGGCATTTATACATTGCATTTTTTAGGCGAAGTAAAAAAAAACTGTTTTTTTTTTCCCAAACTTCACCGCAGAGTGAAATAGGAATGACATACATTATTTCAGTGTATATTTACATAAACTAGAAGAGCCTAGCTTTAAAATTATGCATCACACAAGCATGTGAGATGTAAGATGTGTTTTTAAATAAGCAAAGACATTTGGTTATGCCAAACTTTTATGCACGAGCCAAAACAGATGTAGGAGTTTAAGAGGTTAATGGTGGAAAGTCTTGCATTTCACTTTAGCCTTTCCTCTTTGTGATAATATGGGTTATTCCTCCTGTATTTAGAGCCCTCCTTAGTTTTTATCTTTCCCTTGTTCAGTTAAGTTATGTTTACCAATTATGTTATGTTGTTGTATTTTTTTATTTCTGTTGTATTTGTTGAAGTTTATTAGAGATGATTTAACATCTGTTGTCCTCAATTTATGTTTGGTCTATTACATGCACTTTTTAACATAACCATGTGATTATGATTGAATTTACAATTTTCGTTATGAAACTCATATTGTTCAATGTGCACTCATCCAATTCATATGCAAAAAAAATGGTCTGAAATCACATCTGAATAATGAATTTAAGTGTGTTTTTATAACTTTAAAAGCAAGTTCTCACTTAAAATGTCAATGTGCTAACAATGCGGAAGAGTGGATTTGCCTTTTCCATAAGCAGATAAAGCAGTCAAATGCAAACAGAGGGCAAATGTATAAAATATGCAACCAGATCATGTGTTGCTTGTGAAGGAATTAATATATTCTAAAGAATGCAAGTTTTTGTGATTGGCCACATTCACATTTTAGTTGAGATGGAGACTGGGGGCCCAAACCTTGGCTCTACATGGGGGAGACCTGGTTTTTTCCCTGGATCAATCCCCGTCACATGGGGTTCGTACACCTCCACACCACATCTTGGGATCAGTACGTCTCCAGATGGGGAAGATGTCTGCTCTCGTTTTTATAGTTTGGTCAGCTTTTACTTGGATAAACCTCCGTGGAGCGGTTCTTGAAGGACCATGTTTCAATAGTGCGACCCCCAGAGCCATTTGCTGTAAAACCCCCTTTGGAAACACTTTGTAGGACTAGTCAGAGGAGATGCACACCCTAGCTCTTGCCACTCTCTTGCCTAAATCTTTTATTCAGCTTTTAGTAGCCATGGCTGCGGTCTGGTCACTGTCTGGCGAGGTTAGACCCATACAAATGCTGATCAGGCCAGGGATCTAACAACTGGAGCTGGCAAACCCCATCAGGAGCCATGCAGAACCCAGGGTGTGCTCTGCAGGAAGGTCTAGACTCAAGAGTCCAAAATCAATGTTATAGACAACCAGGGGTCAACCAGGTGTTAGGGCAGGGGTGGCTAACTACTGTACGAGCCACACCAGTACCACAAGCTCTGGGGGTCGGACTATCAAATTAACATCATTTGGATTTCTATTAGGGCAATAACAATATTATTTTAATACTGTATAGATTAACTAATTTCCCCCATTTTGAACATTATAAAAACGTTTAATTAAATTATTTTGTTTTACCCTAAAAAAAAAAAAACTTTAAGGATGAATATAGTGTTCATATTTCTCTAAGTGATGTAAAGTAAAACTACAGTGTTTATGAAGAATTTGTATCCATATCAGACATTGCAGAGTAGAGCCCATGTCCTAAGTTTCAAAGATGTCTGCCCATTCGAAAAGGAGAGGTGTTTGTAGTATATAAAAATTCTCAATTCATGTTTAAAGGTAAAAAAAACTACTGTACATAAAGTGAAAGGCAGAGGAGGTGAAAGAGCAAAACATACTGCATTCTGAGGCCAATTCTAACATGAAAAGTAAAATATTGTTTTTTGACAGCATGAGGTTTATATGTATGTTAGATGAATGTTAAAATTCTCAATGGTTATGCTTAAGACTAGGTTTAGGTTTAGGTTTTAGGTTATGAGTCCAGGATCCACTTTAACATTGGTCCTTAAGTACTTGGTGGTATCAGATCCTGCCTGTGGGTCCAATAACCAGGATTGGCCTCTTCCCACAAGGAGCCATAGTGAGTCCAGGGTCTGGTCTGTGGGAATATGAACTCCTGAGTGTGACCTGACCAGGGGCTGAGAACCAGACTGGGCTTCTCCCCATAGGAGCAGGCCTTTCCCTTTATCGCGGCCAGACCATAGTCCTACACAGGGCAGTGTGGTGTCATAAAAAATTCCCATCCCTTCCAAAACTGATTCGGTTTCCTTAGAATAACAACAACAATAAAACACAAAATTACTGCCCGAAGTTTGTGGATCTATCTAACACTAATAGGCATGAAATAAAGTCATGATCGCCACCACTACTGAATACACTTTACCACAGTGATCCTTTGTCAAACATGCTACATCATTGTATTCATTGTGTCATATTCAAGAGTGTGTCAAATATCCACTTCAATTGTGAATGCTTTTATCTGATAATCATCTACAGTATTATTTGTAATAAAACTTTTATATTTGCTGTAATTCGATAATCTATGTACTGTAATATATGTGTTTCAGCCAGTTATATTTGCTGTCATAGTTTCAATTATACAATGCATTTGCTTGGAAAAAAAAAAACCATACATAAATATTCATCAGTTTGGAATATGCAAAACCCCGGCACATGGAGCTCCTGCAGAGAGCTGCTATGGTCTAGGACTTACAAAAGTCGACGGCTGCAGGGACCTCCAAACCAGGGGTGAGTAACTGGTGGATTATTGATTTCTGTGTGAGTTTGACTAGTATAAATGTTTTAGATTATTGGGTAATGATAAGTAGATTGATATATTTAAGTCAGATATACTAAGATCACGTATAGCGTCTCTAAAGCCGGGGTGACGCCTAAAACATTTGCAAGCTAACATTTTGAATCACTTGTTCTACTTCAAGCTGAAATCTACCTCCGTTTGGCCACTTTATCACTTGGACCTATAAAAAAGGAGAGAAAAAACATACAAACAAATTCCATTTTCGGAAATCCTAAAAAGAAAAAAAACATTGCTGTCTTCCTGGAGTGACCATTAAAGGCTTAAAGTAGCGTATGCATGTGTTTTTCCTCAGTTTTAGACACTTTATATCACAGTGACATGGGCTTTTCTGTGTGAGTTGACATTTGCAGATGGGACAGGTTCTGTAGTGGCATTGGGAGGTTGTGTGGCATACAGAGGACGAGTTTCTCCACAGGCATGTTTGATGTGTTTGTCTCCCTGCAGCAGTTGTACGCACCATAACGGTTATTCACTTAAGAGCCTGACACTGTTCAAATCAAATTATTCTCTCATACGAACTATACAAAAAACATGTTTTTCCTTAAAGTGATAGTCTGGAACTCTAAATGAATTACAAATTTTAAGAATTGTATTAATATGGACCTCCTGGCCTTAAATGTTTATATGAAATAAGTCATTTTATGAATTCTAATATTAAGGGTAAGTCCCGCCTTCCCTTCTCTTAGCTATAGCTCAAAATCCACGATGCCGTCCACGTTAACCAAGGAGCCTCCAAATCAAGCCTCCATTAGGCTCTGAAACTACATGAAAACTGAACAAAGAATTCTGAACATCCGCGCTGAGTTACCCATTTATATACTGAACCTATATCCATAATCATTTATATACTGAACCTATATCCATAATCATTTATATACTGAACCTATATCCATAATCATTTATATACTGAACCTATATCCATAATCATTTATATTCTGAACTTATATCCATAATCAGATCCTCTGCAGATGTGTCCTATAATGTTCAATTAATGATAATAGCTACTTCCAAGTTTGCAGCGATCGCTTTTTTGTTCATTAAAACATTATTTTTGTCATAAAAACGTTAAATAATTCTGAAAACCTCTGTGCATGTGTAATAATGATTGATTATTACGGAAACGTAGAGGTAGATCAATCAGAAAGGAAGGGGGAGGGAGCTTGGGTCGTTTTAAAAAAAACTTGTATCTCTCTCTATTTTTTTCCAACAAACTCCAGACAATCGCAACTGTCCGCATTCACCAACTTATCAGCATCAGCGCAGCATTCAGTAAATTAAATTCAATGTATTCTTGTAGTGCCATAAATCACTACAGAATTCTCAAAGGACTTTACAAAACCGTCAAATTCGCCAAAACAGATCAGAGAATCAAACAGTTCAAACACAAGAAATGCAACGATAAAATATAAGCGGCAGGTGACCAATGTCCACGAATGTTGATAGATGTCCATAAATGTTCTTGAAAGTCAAGGTTCCTGGATCATCATCACTGTCCATAGACCCTGCTGCATCTGCAAAGAAAAACTCTAAAACAAAAAAACTGCAGGGAAAGGTGAAAAACCTCAGTGAGACCCATATTGAGGGATGAATCCAGGACTCAGACTGCAGAAAGAGGACCACGCCATGCAGGACCCAGGTCGGCTCCCAGGCGAGGATGGTGTGCAGAAAAGACGTAGATTGAAATCAATGACATTAGTTACATTTAAAACACACACATATTCTCGTTCCAGGTGCACCAGACTAGCTCCAATGGACGCTTCTGACTCGATGGCGAATGGATCTAGCTCTGTGGACTGCTTCAGAGATCCACCCACCTTTTATATCTTTATATCGATTGCAGTGGTCACGCTGCTGCTGATGCCCGTCTCTCTTTACATTTTGTACTTGGGTTTCTCTCAGTGGAAGCAGCGCCGTGCAGCCAGTCATTTGGACCACTTCACTTACCACATGTCGGCCATGGATCTCCTTCCGTTCTGCGGTTGCATCGTGTTCTGCGTCGGTGCCTGCTACGACAACATTTTCTTGATGTCCCAAAGCTTGGCGCTGTTCTCTTTCAACTGGAGTGCCAAGATTCACTTAAACACCCTGACCTGTGTCGACCGCTACCTGGCAGTGGTTCACCCAATCTCCTATCTAAACTTGAAGAGAAGGGCCGGGGTCAAGATCAGAAACGGCGCCATTGCTTTTCTGTGGCTTCTTGGCCTCGCCTGCATTTCTCTTCTGTATGTTAAAGAACAAATTGACACAATTTTCTCTATGCTCTCTATGATTCTTGCTTTCATAATCAGCTTCTTTTGCAATGTTGCAGTTCTGCGTGCTCTAGTCCGCCCCAGTCCAGCTAAAGAGGGAGGGAAAAAGGCGAAAGTTGACCTATCTAAGAAAAAGGCGTTCCAGACCGTAGCCGCCATTCTTGCAGTGCTGTTTTGGGGCACCATAGGGATTTTGCTCTGTGAAACTGTCTCTCTGACAGTTAGACAAAACTCCTGTGTCTCTTTGAATGCATCTATTTTGCTTAATTTTCCCTGTAATTTGGTCCTGCCCATTCTGTTTCTGCAACGCTCAGGAAAGTTGTCCAAACGCAAAGTCGATCCCTCTGCGTAAAACAACCTTTCAAAGCTCCTTTTTCAAACTTTATTCATTGAATATTTGAAGACAGCTTTCAGTTATACAAAAAATTATGAAAGAGACTATACAACCGAATATCAGTCCCTGTGCCCACCCTCCCTCCACTCGGGTCATAGAAAAAATAAATTCTGAAAATAAAATTAATAATTTAAAAAGACAGACACACAAACACATACACACAAGGGGAAAATTATTAATTCAAGTGGATAAAGAAATAACCTTTTGCTCTTCCCCAATACAATCCTTCTCCACAGTACAATGTGGCTATACATGTACATGCAGGTAAAAGCCAGATCCTTTCAGACCTCTGAAGCTGTGCAGGGCAGAGCCTGGTTAGTACTGTGATGGGAGACCCCTAGGAACACCAGGTGCCACATTGGGGCAGCTGCGGCCAAACTGCCGCTGTGTCCTTCGGCAAGACAATTCATCCACATTGTCTAAAATGAGTATGGTGTGTGTAAGAATGGGTGATGGTGGTTCGAGTGTGCCTCAGGGCAGCTGTGGCTACAATGGTAGTTTATTGCCACTGTGTATGGAGTGAATGAATAATGGCATGTGAAGCATCTTTGAGTGTCTAGAAAAGAACAATTGCATTCCATCTACATCCCATCCATGCAAAAAATTCACCTCTGTCCAGTAGTTTCTCTGGAATGCTGTTTGTAGACACTAACACACTCACATTTTCCACACCGGCCCTGCTGTTGAAGTATTCTGCTTTTCAAATCATTTAACTAACAAAGTACATCAGATCAGTGTCCCATCATTCAAACCATGTCCATCAGTGTGGTCAGTGATGGAGCTGCCTGACCACACCACCAGGACCTGTCATTGTTTTGCATTAGTGGAGGAGTATTTACACTGGACGAGGGGCTACAGGTCATCAGTGCTGTTCTATGATGACCCATTGTGATTAGAAATGAAGGAGAGATAATATGCATCAGTTGCTGTTGTCACCAGGCAAAGGTCTGGTGGAGGTGTGGGCCTCGTCAATAAAGAACTGCCCCATGCTTTGTGAATGGAAAAGTCTTTACTTCATAAATAACCTAAACTAAAACTAAACTAGAATGGTGTAATTGGACATCCCCTCCAGCAGGGGGCTGTTATGCTCTCTACATGTCCTGGTCATTTTTTTTGACCTTTTAGAGCTAATTAGATAAAATCTCCCTTTTTATCCAAAAAACGTCTGTGTGGCGCCCACTCTACCTTTTCGCTGGCACTACATTTGAATTTGGTCCTGGCCTCTCCATTGACTCTGTAATTCTGTGTGACGTCAGTTGGTGTGTGTTTTACGTGCGTCTGTCTGCGCCGGTGATATAAACCCATTCAACTCTCACACACGCCTGTGGCGAGTTGGAGTATTCTGGCGACATCTATTAGTTTAAAATTAAATTATAGGAGTTGACAATCACTGCTGCTGAGATAATTCTGTGGCTTAGGTTCAGGTGTTGCTCTACAATAATCTTAGTGTGTAAACAAAGGTGGAATGAGACTTTCTGGTGTGTAAACTATTGCTTTAAGCAGCAATGTCTTCTGTCTGTTGTCTACTGTCCCCTTCTCGTCCCCTGGTCCTCCAGGCAACGCCCTTTTTAGAGAACATTTTCAAATGTTCATGTGGGCAGAGTCAGGCTGGGCACAGGTTTTTAGTCGCTCTTTAAGTAATTCTTTGTTGTAAGTGGATGTGTACTAGTGTATATTTAATGTTGATTATGAATATGTATAGATACATTTATGGAGAGTGTGTGTTGTTTTCTTCTTCCTAATGCTGGGCAAACACTCGTACAGTGTGTGGGGGTGACGAGCTGTGATTCTCACCTCAGTGTGAAAACTGTTGATTGTGACATCGCGGAGATAACAAATATGATTGATATTTGTCGTCAGTCATAGACTAGAGCTGCACACACTGGTATTGCTCCTCCACTGCCTCATACACAGAAGTCAATGGGCTTTCATCTGAGCAGCTGCGAGGTCGGGACTCTCTGAAATCATGGTTCTATGGACATTTTTATTGTGTTATACCTCGGTCTGTGTATCTCCATACAGGGAACTGTTAATTTCATATTAAACATTTCCAAGCCAAGTATCTCTAACTTTCCATGAGCGTCATGGGGCCAGTTACAAGCTCTTATAAAAATGTCCAGATTTACGTAACCTGTACCTTTTCATGGCTCATTTGTTTCTCTGGTGAAAAAGACATTTGCTTGTCAAATCATCATCATTGTGAAATCATAATAAATCTGCATTGGTTCGGAACATGCAAAACCATAGTTTATTGAGTCAGCAGGACCCTATGGCACAACATAAGTCACAGACTGCATTAACCATCAAACCAGACACAACTCTGCTCCTCTCAGCAGCTTCTGGTTGATATTCCCAGGATTTAGACTAAAGTGGGAAAAACACACTTTTCCTCTTCAGCGTCCTGGACTTGGACCAAACAATCCCAGATCTCTTCTAAAGATATACCGAAGTATACTGTTCAATGTGCAGATATTTAATACAACAAGTGATGAATTAAAATTAGTAAGAAGTTAAAATGTTGATTTTAAATGGTGATGGATTTTATTATATGAACGTTAAAATAATAACGTCTTCTATGTCAGATTGATGTCAAGTTTTTTTTTGTATACCGTATCGCTTGTGTGTGTCTCTCATCAGAGGTATGTTTGTCATAATTGTGCACATACAAGACAATAAATCTAGTGAAGATATAATACAGTTAATTAGTAATGTTACAACATTTTGTTTTCATATTTTATTTATATTCACATGTTTGGATCCACTTTTCGCCTGTTCTGTTTGGAAATATGGTAATAATAGTTGTGTATAATTTGCCCTTTGAGCCTCCATCCTCAGGAGAAAAGAAGATCAGTTTTGTCTTGTCCCCTTGTAATCAAAATGTACTGTGTTGTCTGCATTTAAAGTTGAATCCTCAGCTTAATGCATCTCCATTCAAACCCAAGAACAGTTTGTGCGTTGGTTAAACTCAGACGGAGTAACAGTGGATTTTAAATGTACCGGTGTATATATATATAGATTAATGTGTGTGTTTGTTAAATTTGTACTAATAAAGTTAATCCCTCTCTTAAGACTTTCATCCGCATTGATCATTTGCATCTGTATTTTGGTGTTTGAGTTTTAGTGACACTGTTTCTTTGATCCCGCGGCTTCAGGAAATCAAACAGTGTGAATTCATTTTTAAAGTGATTGTGTGAAGTTTAAAAAATCAATATAATCTAACTTTTGTTGCCAGTGTCTTCCGGCTTGTCACGCAGGTAGTTCCTGAACACGGTTTGAAGATTTAATCCACCTGCTGGAGATGCCGAGTTTCACCTTAGAAATGGGAAACCTACAAGACCCACGGCCCACAAGAGAGACCAATTCTGCTCCCTGATTTGATAATCTTATTGAAAACATTAAACAAAAAAATTGGGGAAATTGTTTTTTTAATTGAGAATAGATCAACGTCAAACTTTTGTTCAGAAGAGGCCAAATTTGATATTTCACTTTTTTACAATGTCATAAGAATATCGTTTTTTTTTTTTTTTTTATGCACGTGAATGTTGATTAGGTAAATGATTTAGACTTCACTATCAGCGGAACTGACTGAATGAGTGAAGGAGCCTCGGACCTTATACACTTAAATACATAAGTGCATAGTAAACATCGCACAACATGGGACCAGCCTGTCTTATAATAAACATGTTTTTGATCCAAGCGTACATCTCCAATTAGCTCTCAGTGCATTATGGGGAATGTAGTACGGTGGTTTGTGTCCATGCAGGCGTGAAGGCTCCCTATGACTGCAGCCAGACTGATCTCTCAATATCACCAGGAGTCACATGACCTTGAGGCGGACTGACGTCGGCCTACGGCAGAATCTTGGACACAAATCTAACCACAATGCACCTCTCGCCTTCATCTTAAACAGGACGAATCAGAATCAGAATGATTTGTATTTCCATCCAATAATTTTGGAGCGGACGGATAAAAATAAACTAATGGGATTTGTTCATCCCCAACGAACCAATGGGATGCGTTTGCCCCCTTCACCCTCTTCCTGTCATGGTGTGGACTTTTTGGATTATTTTAACCTGGTTTTATTTACTTTATTAGTTTTCTTGTATTTTGAGTTTTCCTGATTCCTGTGTGTCCTGTTGATTGTTAGCCCCGCCCTAATGTGATCCACCTGTGTCTCCTGTGTGCATATATATATATATATATACCCTGTGCTTTCCCCACTTGTTGTCCGTCCGTTGTCTCTACCAAGTTTGTCATGTCTAGTTTTTCATTCTGGATTTTAGGTTCCCTTTTTCTTCATGCAACCACGTGACACTTCCTGTTTCTTGCGAGTGCAGTAATCGGATTTTCTAAAACCTAAAATGGCCCAATAAAAATGCCAATTTCACGTTTGCAACCCACTCTCCCTGTTGTGACAGAGAAAAGAAAATGGCGGGATGTTTGGTTTGGTGGAGAGGCGAGGGGAGTGGTTTCTAGTTGGTGCTACGGCTAAGCTAACAAAATCGCTTACTGCACCTTTAAAGGTACACTGTGTAGTTTTTACTCCCATCTAGCATTGAGATCATATATTATAATTTACGGTACTACGGTGGCTTCGCAGGATAATATGTCGCCTTTGACAGTGGTCCCCGATTCTCGGTCAAACTCCTTTTTGTCCCTTATCCACCACTGTATTTCAAGATGGCGCATTGACAAGGAGAGTCCTCCAGCTCTCACATGACAGCAATTCAAAAACATGGTGGAGGTAAATATCATTAAAAATGTTTTTTCGTTTGGAGCAACTGTAAAAATTACACATACCTTTAAGTACACACAGTAGTAATATATTTCAGTATCCATAGCAACATTGAGCTGCACCTATTTTATATATATATATATATATATATATATATATATATATATATATATATATATATATATATATATATATATATATATATATATATATTATATATATATATATATATATATATATATATATATATATATATATATATATATATATATATATATATATATATATATATATATATATATATATATATATATATATATATATATATATATATATATATATATATATATATATTATATATATACATATATATATATATTTTTATTCCTTATTCATCATTCTCTTGCGTGGCTACATCTTGACTGAGACCTGAATGCAAGAATACTGTATACTACCTTTCATAATAATAAAAAAAAAAAGAAATAAAAAAAAAACATTGAGCTGCACCTCCCTCTGTCCATCTGCAGGGCCAGGACCTCATCACGGAAACAACTGTAATTTGCCTTTTGTGATTTGTCGTCCAGTCAAAAGGTTCATGCAAAGCAAAAGGATAATCGCACAACTTTACATTCAAATGTGTGAAGAGAAATGTTCCATTTGTATATTATAATGTGATGTGATGTGATTTTTGTTCCTGCAACGTGCAAATGGTTTATAGCACGTTATCTGGCCATGTGACTATTTTAATGAGAGAAATTTGCCTCGTTGACGTTTGCAAAAGTTGACACAGACAAAAAGCTTCATTCTTTAGCTGCTGTTTGGGGAATGAGCGACTCGGGACATCGAAAAGGTTGGTCTATTGCATAATAACAAATCAATTGTTCTGTTCCTAATTTCGGCCGCAACAGAAAAAAAGGGGAAACTCTGTAAATTATTAAAATCAAAAGTCCATTTAGATTTTGTATTTTAGTTTCACTTTTTTATTACAGAAATAAATAAATGCACTTTTAAACAATATTCTAATTTTCACCTTTACATGACTTTTACATTCAAAACGTTTAGCTATGAGAAAATGTGCAATTATTTGGATTTAAATTACCAGTTAGATTTCCAGCTCTGTGGATTATTAACTTTGGAAGCTCAATTTGAATCAAGGTGAATAATAATAATAATAATAATAATAATAATAACAACAACAACATGATGATAATAATAATAATAATAATACTGTAACATTATTATTTATTATTATTATTGATTCATATTTAGTACCAGTTTAAGAAATCACTTTTAAAATATTTCTATCACAGTTAGTGCTGCGACAAGTGTGGATCATTTAACAAACCAGCAGACTTTCTCTTGAATTAAAGCTAGCGTATTAACTTTCCAACCACACAAAAAGGTGACACGCTGTAGTAATTCACATTTACCTTGCTCTCAAAATATTTTGTTTCTATCACTAATTTCCACATACATCTTTACATTGTTTTTTATCAGACAGAAAAGTTAAAAAGAGAGGACCTGTGACTCCCGGGGCAATTTCAATGTCAAAGTATTCAACACAATATAGTGGTCTTATGTGTTCACAGAATGGAGCTTTTAGACTATTTCTTTAAATTCACTGTATTCTCCACAACATTGATGCTGTGTGCCACTTTAAACACTTGAGGAATCTATGTAAAAGGTTGTTTTAATGAAGGACAATGACATTTAATGACAGATGGAGGAACAAGGCTCAAAAAGATTCACAATAAAAACGTTTCTACATTGGTCCAAATTGTCTTCAAATCTTACTTTTCTTTCCCTGATTCAACCGAACATTCTTCTAAATTGCAAAAGTTCTCAATATTATTCAATAAATCTTAAGGTATTTATAGACCTTTTATTATTTGAATTAAATCGTATTCTTTGTGGGTGGGAAGTTAGGTACCCCAGCTTTAAGCACATCTCTCACTATTTGAACCCACAGATGAACAACTCCAGTGTGGGCCGTTACAGTTGCTCCCGTTCCCTGAAGCTCACCTATATCTTCACTTCCTGGTTCTTTCTCTACCTCCTCATGCTGCCTGCGTTCCTCTTCGTCCTCTACATTGGCTTCAACAAATGGAAAAAGTCCAAATCCTCGTCATCACTCCTCAATCACTCCGACATCTTAACCCTCAACATGGCCTCTATGGCAGGAGTCTCCAACCTTTTTTAATCAGAGAGCTACTTTTATACAAACAAACAGGCAGAGAGCTACTCATTTTTGCAGTCATAATGAAAATGGATCTAATAATTACGACTAAACTTGGAGAACACATATAAAATACACCATATTACTGTATAACCCTATATTTATACTTATAATAGATATGTAATGGGTCAAAAAGTATTCGTTTAAGTGTATTTGTTAAAGTCTAATTTCTTTGGCAAGCTACCTGTAAGGGGCTGGCGAGCTACTGGTGGCTCCCGAGCTACAGGTTGGAGACCCCTGCTCTATGGAGACCGTCGGCGTTATCGGTCCTGCTTCGCCTGCTACGGGTTTTGGCGAAGCGAAAGTGACGTTCTAGAGATGGGGGCTAACGTCGTCATGGTAACCACCACAGTCGGGCAGATGCTGTTTCACTCATTGACCTGTGTGGAGCGGTACATCGCCGTGGTTCATCCCGTCGCTTACATAAGATTTCTCATCAGAAATGTCGGCGTCGGTGCGGTTTGGACTTTGAGTGGTTTATACATTTTTTTCAGCGCTATTTCTTCCTTCACAAATATTATAAACAGGGGATATTTCCAAGCTCTTGGTGGTTTGATGGCATGCTTCCTACCCACGCCTCTCGTCATCTACTGCAGCCTTACTGTTCTCTGCGTCCTGTTTCGCCCAAAGCCCAAAGAAAGGGGTGGGGATCGCTGGCGTATCGATCAGTCGAAACGTACCACGGTTTACACCATGTGGCTCATACTAGGAGCTCTACTGCTGAGGCTGGCTCATGGAGCAGTTGCTGATGTATGGGCTGTTTATTGGAGTCATGGGCAACATTGACGGATGCTTGTTAACGCTGGTTTATCTATGGGCCGCTCTTCCCAGTTGCCTTGTTCTCCCTCTGCTGTTCCTGCACAGAGCTGGGAAACTGCCACATTAGTGTTGAAGATGAATATGATAGAGAACTGAGGCAAACTGAGACAGAATTTATAAACGCAGCTCCAGTGTGTGTGTGTGTGTTTGTGTGAGTGACCCTCTGGCCCATTGGTAAAAGGGTCCAGAGTTCAGTGGGACAGCCTTAGCCAGAAAAAGCCTTTTGAGAGCAGATAAAAAAAATTATGCCCCCAGAATGGAGAAAGACGGACAAAGGAGAGTGTAATATTCAGTTCCAGAAGAATCATAACTAACCGGATGACCACCAGACCAGCACCAGGACATCCCCACACCAAGGAGAGCTACGGCCAGCCATCCACAGTCTGGTCCGGTAATCTGCCCATCTCAGTCTTGACTTCTTATCCTCGTAAAGACAACACTTTAGATACCTCAGAATACCTTTAGACAAAGATTTTACTCCTCAATGAGAGAGACCTCACTCAGAAGTCAGAATAGTACCAGACTCATGCCCGGCTTTGTCAATACAGACATTTGTGCTGATTTATTTCCAGACAAAAAGTCAGTGTCAGGCACAAGAATTCACACACAGATCTCGTAAAAGGAAATTGTACCTACTGCTAATTACTAATGAGCTAGTTTATTTATGAATGATTCAATGAATGTGTCAATATATAATGAGTAACATAAAGACGTACATATGTTCATGTGTCAGTTTTGATATATTCACTGGGTATATTCATTAAAGCTATTATCCATTCAATGATCCATCCATCAATCAATTTTCATTTGTAAAGCACATTCTCCTTGGCTTCATTTTTTGGTGAATTTAAAGCGGAGGAACCTGTTTGATAAATACATAAAGTACTCGTGTTTGTCCCAACAGGAAGAATCTTATTTATGTGACAAAAAAAATTAGTGATAGAACCAAACTGTTTTTAGAGATAGGAATTAGTTACATTTTATGACATAGTTAAAATTTTGTGTGTGGCTAAAGTTGACTATATTATTGTGTATCACTATTTATTCAGACATATACATAGTGTACATACAGAACAGTAATGACACTTTATAATCAATGTGTACGAGATAGACTGAAAGAAGAAAGAGATTTTTATTGTATTTGCTTTCATATTATACGTTTTTATTTTTTCCATGTTTGCATTGTACTGTCACAAAACCCTTAGTTCATTTCTTGTTTACATGTTTTTAGGCAATAAAAAATAACACAATTGAATCAGAATCAGATTTTGTTTTATGTAAGGTTCACATCCAAAAGATGTTCCAGATTTGGTCCAAGTTCTTTTTTCCCGAACCAACACAATCATTGATACCAAATAAACTTTGTGAATACAGGCATTCAGAAAAATACATATTAAAAACCATTTTCAAACACAACAACTTCAAAAGGGCTGGATCGAACAAGGGGACGGCTCACTGGGACCTCTTTCAGCAGGTGAGTTTCCCTGCTCTGTGCAAAAAGAGCAGAGGTAACACCAGACTACAGGGCATCACAGCCCAGTAAGAGCTCATCGATACCACACACGCAGGCTCATAGTTTAGGATGGTGAATAGGCTGTTGTACATTACATTGGTCATCAACCTCAGCAGCAGTACGGCAAGTATGGCCACTACAGTATAAACAGTAGAGCGCTTGGATTGGTCAATCTTCTTAGGCCCGCCCCGCTCTCCAGGCTTTGGGCGGGTCAGAACGCAGAGGACATAGACGCTGCGATAGGCGACCAAAGGCAACGGTACAAACGAGAAAACAACACTGAACAAAGAATAGAAGAGATTTGACTTAATTAACCGGAATAATAAAGTGAAAGTCACACAAAAGACCCAGACAAATATGATGCTGATGTTCTTGATGATGACTCCGCCCCCTCTCTTCAGCCGCAGGTAGACGACAGGATGGACCACAGCCAGGTAACGCTCCACACAGGTCAAACTGTGGAATAGTGTCTGTCCAGTCATGGTGGTGATCACTGTGTCTCCCCCAAAAGATGTGATTTCTGAGTTTAACTTCATAAAACCATAGCAGGCAACACACGTCCCGACTACACTGATTATCTCCATGGTAACCATGTTGAGGGTGAAGACGTCAGAGTGATTGAGGCCTCCCGAGGCAGAGGACTGGGGCTTCTTCCATTTGTTGAAGCCGATGTAGAGGACGAAGAGGAAAAGAGGCAGCATGAGGAGGTATATTATGAACCAGGACAGGAAAAGGTATCGGCTCGCAGCAGACGAGACACAGTTGTCAAATGGTGGAGTTGAGTTGTCCATCTATAAGAAAATGTGAAACTCATGAGACACAAAATCCTTAACTCTTGTCAGCTGCTAAAGCCCTCTTGCCCTACAGCTAGATTTAACACACAAGAAGCACACAAGAAGCACTCGAGGACGAATCAGCACTAGATCATATACGGAATCGGGACGAAACCGGAAGTAACATTCGTACTTTCGAATTAGTTTTAGACTAACAAGTCCTTAAGTGGTGACTGGTTAAGTTTTAGGTGTCTGAGTAAGATTGTTAAAGTTAGGGTTAAGGGTGGGTTGGGATTATTTTATGGGAATGGCTGGTTAAGTTTAGGCATTAATAGATAATTTGTAATATTTACTTCCGCTTCCGTCGCGATTCCGTATATGATCTAGTGCTGATTCGTCCTCGAGTGCTTCTTGTGTGATTGTTAAATCATTGTCTGCCATTGATGTGCAAAGACGTCAAATCAAATAGTACGGTTGTGTGCCATTGATGTCAAATGCGTTATTCACTATTTTCATGTTCCCAGATGTCTATTATATCTAAAATGTATGGGGATTAGCTTTAGAGCATATTTTATTGAGCCAGCAGGTGGCAGCAGCGCTGCCTCTGGATGTTTTGAAAACAGGATGCACTTGTTGCGCCTCTTTTTCTCAGCTTTTTGTCTGAGACTGGTGATTTCAGTAAAACTTCCCTCTACTGGACTGGGGATCGAAACAAGCTTGAAACAAAATGCTTTTTTCTGGTCAAAGTAGACAGTCCATTCTTTCAGAATCTGGTTGGATTTCAGATAGTCATAGTACACAATATCCTGTGGGTCTTGAAAAATCTCTAAAATTCATCAGAAACTGCTGGCAATATGGGAGTACCTGTTCTGAAATGGGCTGGCAGGCAATATGACTGTGGCACAAGTGCTGCTTTCATTTGACTGCGTCTGACCTGCAGCGATCTCAGTCTGGCTCATTCTGACTTGATCTTCTACTTCTCTGAAGCCAGGAAAGCATAGTCGGCTAAGTGTTGATTGGATTTTAACCGAGGATCTATGATTGTAAATTTCACACACCTCTGGAATCCACTTGTTTGTGAACCAGCATCATACTGAGATGTTTACAGTGGCAAATGTGACGCATGCACCGTTCTCTCGTAAAACAAATGGGTAATGTTGTCTCTGCTCTCTGTAGTCTCTGCTCTCTGTAGTCTCTGGTCTCTGTAGTCTCCTCTCTCTGTAGTCTCTGCTCTCTGTAGTCTCTGGTCTCTGTAGTCTCCTCTCTCTGTAGTCTCTGCTCTCTGCAGTCTCTGCTCTCTGTAGTCTCTGGTCTCTGTAGTCTCCTCTCTCTGTAGTCTCTGCTCTCTGTAGTCTCTGTAGTCTCCTCTCTCTGTAGTCTCTGCTCTCTGTAGTCTCTGCTCTCTGCAGTCTCTGCTCTCTGCAGTCTCCTCTCTCTGTAGTCTCCTCTCTCTGTAGTCTCCTCTCTCTGTAGTCTCTGCTCTCTGTAGTCTCTGCTCTCTGTAGTCTCTACTTCTGTAGTCTCTACTCTCTGTAGTCTCTGCTCTCTGTAGTCTCTGCTCTCTGCAGTCTCTGCTCTCTGTAGTCTCCTCTCTCTGTTGTCTCCTCTCTCTGTAGTCTCTGCTCTCTGCAGTCTCTGCTCTCTGTAGTCTCCTCTCTCTGTAGTCTCTGCTCTCTGTAGTCTCCTCTCTCTGTAGTCTCCTCTCTCTGTAGTCTCTGCTCTCTGCAGTCTCCTCTCTCTGTAGTCTCCTCTCTCTGTAGTCTCTGCTCTCTGTAGTCTCTGCTCTCTGTAGTCTCTACTCTCTGTAGTCTCTGCTCTCTGTAGTCTCTACTCTCTGTAGTCTCTGCTCTCTGTAGTCTCTGCTCTCTGCAGTCTCTGCTCTCTGTAGTCTCCTCTCTCTGTAGTCTCCTCTCTCTGTAGTCTCTGCTCTCTGTAGTCTCTGCTCTCTGTAGTCTCCTCTCTCTGTACCGGTCATAGACTGTAAGTACCAGTCATATCATAGACTGTAAGTACCAGTCATATCATAGACTGTAAGTACCGGTCATATCATAGACTGTAAGTACCGGTCATATCATAGACTGTATGTACCGGTCATATCATAGACTGTAAGTACCAGTCATATCATAGACTGTAAGTACCGGTCATATCATAGACTGTAAGTACCAGTCCTATCATAGACTGTAAGTACCAGTCATATCATAGACTGTAAGTACCGGTCATATCATAGATTGTAAGTACCGGTCATATTATAGACTGTAAGTACCGGTCATATCATAGACTCTAAGTACCGGTCATATCATAGACTGTAAGTACAGTGTACCGGTCATATCATAGACTGTAAGTGCTGTAAGTACCGGTCATATCATAGACTGTAAGTGCTGTAAGTACCGGTCATATCATAGACTCTAAGTACCGGTCATATCATAGACTGTAAGTACTGTAAGTACCGGTCATATCATAGACTATAAGTACCGGTCATATCATAGACTGTAAGTACTGTAAGTACCGGTCATATCATAGACTATAAGTACCGCTCATATCATAAATATGTTCTTGACGCACAGAGAGGTGGCGATACAATACCCGTTAAGCTCAGGAGATATTTTTTGAACTTCAAATGAATGGCTTGTGCTCAGTAGCGCCCAGGACTTACATGGGGATTGAAAGAGCGGAACTCTCCCATACCCATGTCTGGTCCTCCCAGTTCTGCGCAGTGTGCGAGCTCCCAAGATGCTTTCTGCCACATACGCGTGTGTGGCTCTCACGCACGTGCACAGAGGGGCTCGGCTGTGCTCTGATCAATCAGAGCTGCTGATCAGAGCGGAGTTAGAGCGGGAAGAAAACAAGCAGAGTTTGTTGCATTAAAGTGTGGAATGTAAAGAAAACTAAAGGATTTTACAAGGAACACTAAAATTCCCCCAAAAAACGACCTTTATGAAAGCTGTAGGCTCTTTGTCAGCTGAGGTCCAGTTTTAGTTTACCTTGAGTTTCATGGGACATTTTTCTGTGTCCATGGGTGGGACTGCTTTAAGCTAGTAATACACCTACCCTATTGGTTCTCAAACTTTTCACACCAAGTACCCCCTCAGAAAATACTTGCCTCTCCAAGTACCACCACAAATGACCAACACCACACAGTAGCGTAGTAAGCCGAAGTATTCATCAATAACAAGGCAGAGGTTTCATTCCTAAAGAAGTATATTTAATGTAATATTTTATACAGTTTCAACAGTAAGACTGCGCTTAAATATAGGAAAAAAAAATGTTTTAAATGTTTCATTCATTGCGAACTGCAAAGCCTCACTGTGAGTGATATTCTGGAGTGGGATCTTTGTCCACAGAAGGTTTGGACACTGGTGCACTTTAGTTTCTAAGGCTTGCTCTGCTGCCCTCTTACATCTGTCGTTTACTCACAGAGACATGTTCATATGGTTTGGATCAAATGATCGTTTGTTGCTCTCTGTTCCTTTTGCACAGAACTGGGAAAAAAACTGCTCCTTCTACATGGAACGTGTTGCAAAAAGACTAGAAATGATCTGATCTTATTTCCTTGAATGCTTTTACTGTAGATCCAGATTGAGACATCTTCAGTGAAATGTAACTGTTTTTATAATCCGTAATTTTATGACATTGTGTGTTACTGTTGTATAATCTGTATGTGACTATTTTATCATCTGTATGTGACTGTTTTATCATCTGTAATTTTATGTAATTTTTGTACACGAAAAAGAGGTTCTCATTGACTGCCAGCCATTTTTTGATGACTTCACTGATTTTTAAGACTCACAGAATATTGTGTGCTATGAAAAATATGAAACCAGAGTCTGAAAGACAGGACTGTCTACTTTCAGCAGCAAAAATAAGTTTGTTCTTAGTTTGTTTCGTTCTCCTGTGATCTCCAGTCGAGAAGAGGAGAGTGTGACAAAAAGCATAAGTCTTTTAAAAAAAATTAGAAAATGAGGTTTTTGTGAAAACAGTCGAACCTGCAGAAAAGTGATTGTAAAACTATTTAGTTTAACTTTAGCATCTCCTCAAACATGTCCAGGATCTTACATGTTAGAAAACAGCAACACGTTTTGAGAAAGTGTTTTTAATGTAAAATAATAAGTTTTATGGCACACACTCACATCCACAAAGTGTTGCTCAAAAATTTCAAAATGTACTCATCCAAAAAATGTCAAAATGTACATATTAAAAGTAGAGCCCATGACAAACTATGCCAGATAGAATGGCCAGTATTCATCCATTAGGTGGCACTATATTTATGTCAATAAGAGTAAATCAAAGAATAACAAAATTACAATGATAAACACATGACAATAAATCAGGGTAAATACTTATACTTATAGTATAAGTGCAACAGAATACTGCTGTGTGTCTTTGTGTGTTTGGGCGTGCATGTATGTGCGTTTATGCACGCGTTTGTGTGTTTTTATGTGGTTACATCTACAGAGCGTCTGTTTAGTCCGGCGTGCGCTGTGACCATATCTGGACTTTGCTGCTGGCTCCTGGTGTGGACTCAGTGATAATTTTAGCAATAGTCCACTTTTCTGTGGCTTTTTTGAGGTGCTCCACTGGTCTGCTGCTCTGACCCTCCACATGGTCTGCTGCTCTGACCCTCCACATGGTCTGCTGCTATGACCCTCCACATGGTCTGCTGCTATGACCCTGCACATGGTCTCTGTCAGCTCTGGAGACACATTTACTGCTCAAACTGCCTCCAAATCAATGTCAATGAGTTAATCTCAATGGGACTTTCCTGGTAAAATTAAAAAAATAAAAAAATAAATTTTTTTTTTTTTTTTTTTTTTACAGATTTTTTTTTTTTTCACAGATTCTTTGGCGTACCCCTAGAGGGCGCCCGCGTACCACTAGGGGTACGCGTACCCCAGTTTGAGAAACCCTGGGTGGCTTTATGACAGGGCCCCAGCCGGGTCTCTCCTCTAACTAGACTGCCAGTGGCTGCGTAGCAGAGACCCTGTGCATCCTAGTGTTTAGAGAAAAGAGGGGAAGGGGAAGGCGGGGGAGGAGGATGGAGAGGCGGGTGGTTCTTGGGAGTTGGACGGGGGGGGGGTTGAAGGTGGATGGGTTTTTGGTGATGGGTTAGGGGGGAGGTGGGCTAAATGAGCAGGAGGGGGGGGTGGAATACTTATGGGGTTAGAGGAGGGACGGGTGGATTTTGTGGGAGAATTTGAGTTGGACGCCCTAGGTGGCTTTGGAGGTACGTATGGGGAGTAGTTTTGAATGTTAGATAGGACTCTTGATCTGGCTACAGTGGGTGTGAGAGGAATAGTCTTCATCGCCAATCTTATCATGCCTGCCGAGTGTTCCGGTAATTCCAGTAGTGAAGGCGGGGATAGAAAACAAAGGGAAAGGTCGTCCTCATTTTCCCTAGATGGAGTGGATGTAGCGGTTGGGACCCAAGCCGGGTCCATGGAAGGTGATGAGGGAGTCTTTGGTGGAGACAGAGGTGGTTGAGGAACCCCCAGTACAGGCCTGACTGTAGCCTGGAGCAATGGGGGAAGCTTCACGGGAGCTGTAGGTGGGGAAGGTGCTGCTGAAGATGATGGAGCAGCCACTGCTGCTGCTGAAGATGATGGAGCAGCCACTGCTGCTGCTGTATCCACTGCTGCTGGTGCTGTATATGCTGATGGCGCTGATGAAGATGTGGCAGCTGCTGATGATGCTGGTGGTGGAGGCGTTGAGCTCTTTCGGCGCCGTGGAGGTGTTGAGTTCTTTTGGAACCTTGGAGGTGTTGAGTTCTTCTTGAATTGTGGAGGTGTGGAGTTCTTTTGAGGCGGTGGGGGTGCAGAGCCCTCGGGAGTCGGTGGAGATGGTCGTGATGTCTGTGCCCTTTGCTTCTTCTTTCTCCCTTTCGACGGTTGCACGCGCTGCGCAGGCTGAGGTCTTAGGGCAGATGCATAGTTATCCATCAACACTTTTACTCCGTAGTTGTTCAGATGTGGACCTTTTTCTTCAAAAAGCTCGTGCCTATTCCAGAACAGATTAAAGTTTTCAATGAAGCCAAGTCCTCTGCGTGAACACTCATTGAGTAGGAATGTGTTTAGCTGATACAGACGGCTAAACTTCTCAATTTTTCCATCTATATTTGGAAGTGGCCCACCAAGAAAAATTGGTATGTCCATTTTCTTGAGGTCATCCAGTAACAGCGTTATATCCATTCGTAACTTCTCGCTTGCCTTCTCATAGATATCTACCGCCCCAGTGTGGATCAATAATGTACGCACACCACTGTTCTCAGAGAACACTTTAGGCAGAAGAGTCCTTATCTCAGCAACTTTTGCAGAGTGAACTGAGACAGTGAGCATGGACTCAATGTTTACATTTTTCACCGAACCATCTCCGATAAGGACACAGTTTGTCCTTGGTGGAGGCGCTGCAGTTGTTAGCGGCTTTGTTGTTTCAGAAAGGGGTAATAAGCGGTTTGAAGTCTTCAGAACATTTAGTTGTGGCCTTATTTCACTCCTATTGACATTCTTAGCTTTGTCAACTTTGGGTTTAGCTCCACAATTGTTCCAATAATTCTCATTGTTGATTTTGGGAAAAGAAATGACGTCATAACTTACATTTCCAGTCTGTCCATTAATCCCATTTTCACTCATTGGAAGAGTCGGGTTAAGTCCCATTTCTGTTTCCACAATAGATATCCGCGTTTGAAGAGATTTGAGCTGATATTCCAGAGCACAACAGCCGCCGCAGACGCTTCTCTGTCTCTTTCGTCCCGACATGACTAAAGTTGATAAATTCCACAAAGCTGAAGTGTGTAGAAGGAGTAATCCTCGTTTTGTAAATAAAATGATTAAAGGTGAAACAAAAAATGTAAATAAAATGATTCAAGGAGATTAAAAGGCGAAGCAAAAGCAGAGCAGAGAGACACACGACTGTTCTCTTGAAAAGCAGGAAGCTGTGACCAGGGGAGCTGATGCTGCGGAGGCAGCAGACAGAATGCGGCCTGTTTCTGAATATAGATTAGAGTGGAATCTGTAGAATCAAGAGCAATCACGTTGGGTCCCGGACCATGAAATACTAACCTCTCTGAATCGAACCTGGGCAGAGTGGTTATTTATTAGTTTCTGAGGAAACCAATGCAAACCTACAGAACTGTGGCACCCCACTACACTGTACTTCCTCCCCATCCTAACACACAGGTACATTAAACAATATACAACAAAATTTCACACAATATAGAACACTAAAAAGTAATCCTAACAAAAGTCCTAAGCTAAATTCAGCTAACTAATCTATTAATAAAAACCACTAATGAATAAAACTACAATATTCAACAACACGCTATTAACACTACACAATTATCTATAATACAAAGAGCTATGCTAATAAAAACCTACCTAAATGCTACAACTAATAGCAAACCTGACAATCGATGAAAATACTCTAGCGAGCAGAGCGGCAGGGCAACTGACGTCAGCCATCACTGCAGACGTCAGCCTTCACTGCAGACGTCAGCCTTCACTGCAGACATCAGCCATCACTGCAGACATCAGCCTTCACTGCAGACGTCAGCCTTCACTGCAGACGTCAGCCATCACTGCAGACGTCAGCCTTCACTGCAGACGTCAGCCATCACTGCAGACGTCAGCCATCACTGCAGACGTCAGCCATCACTGCAGACGTCAGCCTTCACTGCAGACGTCAGCCATCACTGCAGACGTCAGCCATCACTGCAGACGTCAGCCTTCACTGCAGACGTCAGCCTTCACTGCAGACGTCAGCCTTCACTGCAGACGTCAGCCATCACTGCAGACGTCAGCCATCACTGCAGACGTCAGCCTTCACTGCAGACGTCAGCCATCACAGCTGCGCCAATGGTGGCGCTAGATTCAAAATTCAAATATAGTAAATACAAAACGCCTGCAGATGGCGCCTCACTGACGATTTTAGGCAGAAAGTTGATGTTTCAACTAATTTGAACTAAAGTGACCAAATTATGACCAGGATATGTAGAAAACACCATTGGACACTCATTTATACTGTTTATCAGCAAAAAAGATTTGAGGGTGAGCTGCATTTTAGAAAGATAAGAAGGCCCAAGACACATACAGATTTTCTCAGTCGTTTTGGTGCATTTCTCACATCAGACTTAAAGTTCTCAAAAGTATTAGTGCAACCTTCACAACATTTAGTCCTTTGTGCACATATTTGTACCAGTTTATCATTCCTATGAACACATTTCAAATGCTTTCATTTCATCAGTTGCTTTCATACAATTCTCTGCTGTTTTTTAACAGTATAATTTGCTTCTGTCCTATCAGTCAAAATGAAACATATTTATAACGACTGAATAGTTCCCTTAAAACCAATAGTCCTCATCGCTTTGGTCATCACATACAAAATTGTTGAACTAGTTCAAAACCCAAATCTGTCAAGATAAGATTCATACATTCCTTTTTTCTTTTTTTTCCTGTAAATCTTTCCTAAATTGAACAATGTCCCTCAGGTGAATTTCAGCTTCACTCATGACGAGGTGTGTGTTTTATTGTTTACATTTTTCACAGTTTTACCATAATGATATTTCTTGTATGTTTGTTCTACAAAAATACTGTGACTGGTTGTTTTGTTTGTTGCACAATGCTGTAATTGCAAAGAGCATGTGCAGTAAATATGTGAAATGCATACAGCACACAGACATACATACATTTACATACATACATACATATACACACAAACATACATACATACATCTTGTACCCAGTTACCTCTCTAAATACAGATTGTGTATAGTGCTCAAGTGTCACCAAGATTTGACTTTTTTGCACTGAAAACACAGAGAGAGTAAACCTTCACAATGAAAACGTGACTAAGTCATTTGACTATTGTTCATACTCAATGTTGTTAGGACTTATTACTTTGACTTTTCATTTTTAGAAAGTGACGCACTTTGGCAGGTTATCCACCAGGTTTTGCAGCTTGTAATAATTGTTCTGAGAAATCCACAAACTGTTGTAAGTCAGTAATCTTTATTTGTATACCGCGTTTCTCAGATCGGAGTCTCAAAGCGGTTTACAATTTTTAATTTTGGGCATTTGTCTCTCACTCCACACAGAGATGGGAGCAGGGTCGCCAGTACAGGAGGCGCATGCCAGACCTATTGAGCATGTTTTTAGTGGTAGGGGAAACCTGAGTATCCGGAGGAAACCTTTGCAGACACGGGGAGAACATGCAAACTCCACTCAGAAAGGCCCTGGTCCAACCGGGATTCGAACCTAGGACCTTCTTGCTAAAAGGCGAGATCCACTCAGCCACCGTGCCGGCCATCATTTTGAGAATGCGGAAAGTGATGTGTGAAATACACTGAATCCACTGAGAAAAACGGTAAGATATCAAAATATCAAATACCAAAAACTGTATTAGCTTTAATTTTCTTTTTGAACAGTGGCCCTCTTTTATTTAACTTTCTTATGGAAATCTATTCTAACACAAACTTTTTCATTTTGCAATGTGCTAAAGTGGCCACTATGTGGCAGAGATCCTCCTTCTGTCACTTTAAGTTTTTAGTTTCACTTCAAAGCTGCGCATGACTCAACAACAAGAGACGCTCGAACAAACAACATCGAAGATTTCTCAATCTTAAACTGCATTTATTTATGTGGCTCACAAAGAGGACACCTGTATGGCACACAGGTGCGTAACTGAGTCTACTACTACTACTACTACTACTACTACTTCTACTACTACTAGGAAGGCACCAACAGAGTGTAATCTTACAGACTTAAGGCTTAACCAGTTGACTTCAAATTATTCTCTTTGCTTTAACCAAAGTGAATCCTCCTGGTCTTTTATATTAGAAAGTATCCACTGTAGTTAATCCACAGAGGATTGAGAACATTTGATGCTTCTCCCAAACCGGTCAGACCAGTTAAACATTCTTTCATATTCATTTCCAAAATTACATTTTATTGTGGATAGATTCCAGACTTGACACAGGTTTTACTGTAACCAATAATCACTCTTCTGTCGTTTAAGTAAATCTATCATTTCTCATTTTCTAATCACTAGTTTACTGTAACATTGATTTAGGCCTATTCAGTGTTTGTTAATAACAAATAATGGAATATGTGATATAATCAACATTAAAATGTGTATGTATATCTTCATTTATATAATTTAAACATATTTGAATTATAATAATAATAATAAAACAGAACATTTTTTGCTGTGATCTTCTGTCAGGATGCTGATGGTTCTGGTTCTGGTGCTGTTCGTTGGTTTTGCGTCTGCCCAGGGTTTGTGACACCTTTCCTTTGTTCTCAGCTTGTGCCATACTGTATACATGTCAGAAGCCACAGAAGCCACTATAACTATTTATATAACAGATTAGTGCAGTGTGTGAATCCGGTAGCTCAGCCAACTACAGACACTCACCATGACAAAAACTGCAATTTATAAAAATTTAAATTAAAATGATTTAATCCAAGCGTTTATACGGCTCCCTTGAGGAGCTCAGTCTCACGGGGGTTTTGAGTAGAGCTGTTTCTCTTCCATACCTCCTTGATACCTTTTTGATCCTGTGTACACCTTGTTAGTGCTTGATGGGAGACATTTGGGAACGCAGATTTACAGTGACAAACTACTGTTGTGTCCTTAGGCAAGACACTTCACCCACGTGTATGGGTATGGTGTGGGCATGAATGATTTTTGTTAATCAGAGCTGGGGCCGATGACACAGATTAGTTTCCTCCTTGTACCAGTCTGCCACAGGGCAGCTGTGGCTACAATGGTATTTTAGGTGATGTCCAAATCAGCACTATTTATGATACATTTCTCCAGTGTGAGATCAATAAAATCTATCTTAAATTATATGATCTTATCTTATCTTAAAACCAAGGCATTATTATTAGGTATTTATCAAAGCCTTCTCCATCTTTGCCATGTGTGTTGTAGAATATTCCTTTTATGAGGTGGAAGAAGGAGAAGACTTCGATGTTTGGCTCAGCTCCACAGAAATAGACTCGTCTGATCTGCAAATGAGCTGCGTTCTTCTGACACCGTCGACAAAGAATGTTCTGCAGGTGATTGGGGGAGAGGAGCTCACAGGGGACCAGGACTCACAGTTTGAGGGCAGAGTGGAGTACAAGAGAACTGCTCTGAAACAGGGGCAGATCGGGCTCCTCTTCAGGGGCCTCACTCCCACAGACTCGGGGAAGTATAACTGTGAGGTGGCAGCTATCTCAGGGCAATGGATTACGTTGATTTATACTGGTGAGTGAGCAGTAGTCATTTTTGTCATATTTTTGTCATATTTTTGATGACTCTGCATGGAGTTGAAATCAGAATTAGAATGATTTTTATTGTCATTGTAAGCAACATGTCACAAATTATAGGAATTTTCTTTGGCTCATGGTGCAAACAAGGGTTAGGGTAAAACTAGATATAAGTAAATCTCATGCAGTTCCAAATCCTTTGTCTTATTTGGCAAAAGTGAACACTGCAGGTGTTAATTACATCCAATAATCATGTGTGCTCTGTGTTTGTTACAGAGTATTTTGAGTTGAAGGTCAGACCTGTGGCCCATGTGACCCCTATGACCCCTGTGGCCCCTATGACCCCTGTGGCCCCATCTGTAAAAGGTCAGTGATAATGACAAAGGTATTAGACTATGGGTCATGTCTTTGTAGTAGATGAAGCCGCCTCTCACTGTTCACAGTGAGCGTCTCTAATGCAGGAGGAAGCACAACTTGTGGAGAGTGTCTCAGCATTTATCAAATCAGTGTTTCTTGTCCTGAACATGTCTGTGTGTTTATTTCTACATGATCAAATAAAAAAAGGTTTGAGTCGTACCTGTAACTGACGATTTTGCCGCGAGCTCAAAACTCTAAACATAACGTGACATTTTCTCCCAAGGATAAAATTATTGTCACGGCTTATGTCACTGAGCGCTGCATACTGTGACACTGTCGTGTGGGAGAGATCTGTCAGCTCTGGGCCCTCTTGCTCTACACCTAAGTGCCCGGTTCGGAATAAAGAGCCTGCGGACTGCGAGGAGCCATCCAGCGCCGTGGCCCATGTCCTGAGCCTTTCAAACCGCTATGCAGCCCTCTCCGCTGACATTCCAGCCCCCTCAGCAGAACCCCTGGACTCTGCAGCAAACTCTACTGCTGTCCGTGGATCCAGGTCCACTGCGAGAAAGACACTCTTAAAGGAAGCTGTCCTCAGACGAAAGAGTGGTCATTCCCCTTCTCTGACCCCAGTGCATCACCACCACTTACCTTCACCGGGTCAGCAGCAGCGATCCGAGCCTGCTCCTCACGCCGCTCCAGCGTCCCCGAGCACACAGCGTGGGTTGCCCGGAGCTGGGAATCAACACCCCCACTCCTCTCCATGTGTTCAGCAGCGCCCTGGTTCGGACCCATCCCTGGATGAGCCCGCTGGTTCTGGCCATGGACACCGAGCGCCCTCTCCGCGGCCGCGTCCACTCTTCGCCCCGACTACTTTGATTGTTGGAGATTCCATCGTGAGGCACGTCCGCTTTTTTAACGCGGTCACTCACTGCATTACCGGAGCCACTGTCCCAGACCTGCTCATCCGTCTCCCTCCTCTGCTTCACTCCCTGCCCGATACCATATCCAAGGTAATCGTGCATGTGGGGATCAACGACATGAAGCTGCAGCAGTCCGAGGTCACAAAGAAGCATTTTATGGATCTATTCCGCCTCCTCCAGTCCTTCGGGTTGTGTGTTTTTATCTCTGGTCCAGTCCCGACTGTAAACCGGGGAGACTGCTTGTACAGTCGCGTTGTGGCGCTCAACATGTGGCTCCAGTCTACATGCAGCACTTTTAATTTTATTTTTGTGAACAACTTTGGCCTGTTCTGGAAGCGTCACGTGGCCTATCGTCCAGATCAGGGGTGCTCACACTTTTTCAGCATGCGAGCTACTTATAAAAGGATCAAGTCAAAATGATCTACCTACTACAAAAATGCAAATCATATATTTATTTCAAAAAATATTCTTTATACCTACAATGTATGTTTATGTACATGCAAAACAGCATGAGCCAATATAGCACAACACAACACAATTACCTATGTACATTTTTTGTCATTACCCGAGTTTACTCTTATGACTTGCAGTGAATTGAATCGGCCAGGGATGCATAGTCCGGAAAATTGGTGGTAACTCGCTGACAAGTTTGTCGTGGTTTAGCTTTCCTGCCCTGAGCGCGGTTGTTTGCGCATGTGCAGTCACCTAAGTGTCAGTAAAACATTACTGAGTAAAACACAGATGTCATTTGACTGTGGTGCCATGTCCATGTGCCATGCCTATTTTTTTTAAATCCAAATATTTCCCCTCCTCCGTTTATAAAATAATTTGCATCCACACATCTGCGTTATCAATCACATTCAGGGCTGGACTGGCCATTGGGCATACCGGGCAATGCCCGAAGGGCCGATGCCCATATTTGGGCCGGTCTGTTTGTCTCATACAAAAAATGTTTGTGAAAAGTGTAAATCCGTTGAGAAATGTTTGAGGGGAGCGCGCGTGTCCGCAGGGCACCTGCTGTATGTACTCAAACGGGATTCCACCACCTAAGCGGCTGCAGTGTTCCGGCATCCAGCGGCTCTGAGCTGGACGCGGGAACCGCTCACAACACAACACGGTGAGCGCGTAGCCACAACGTGACCATGTACCCAAGACCATAAACGCGCACAGGACCATGCATGTCTTTGCGTAATTTTTGCACCCAACAAATACACCGCTGCAGGAAAAAGTCCGCGTCTCCCCTCTCCTCTCGAAGTGCGACTAAATTAAAGCTCGGGTACCTAAATCTTCCATTGCATTAAAAGTTCATGTTTGAGCCCAAAAGTAAAATGTTGTGAACAAATTAAACAGATTTAGAGCCAGCCAATGGCTGACATTATGCATTTCAGACTTTTTTGACCAATTCTCATCCCTGTAACAAACAATAGTATTGTCTGTGCCCACCTCCCTCACTCTGAGACATGTTTATTACTCTCTTGTAATGTAGACTATTGCACTTTATTTTTTTGTTGAAACTACAGACATCCTGATCCTCTACAGTATGCTTCCACATACTGTATGAACCAGGGGTCGGCAACCTTTAGTGCTCCTCCAGTGGCTCCTGGAGCCTTTTCAAAAATGTCTGAAAATGGAGTGGGAGGGCTATATTTTATTCCTAGTTTGAATATGGTTTCTGTAGGAGGAAAAACATTCCTAACGTATTTCAATGCTGTAAAAATGTGTATAAGTAACATTCAATTTCAACATTTCTGTCAACGTAGTGAGTCATATCCTGTGACCCAGCCCCGCGCCAGGCGGCCGCTGCTGTAAACAAACCGGCGTGTGCGCACGGATCCCAAAGATAAAAAGAGAAAGAGTCGATAATAAGACTGGACTAAGGACAAGACTGAACATTTGCTTTCAGTCAATGAGGAAGGACTGCTTCATGTTTGCGATGAAGTTTTGTTGCAACACGAGGAACAATGAAGCACTAAACACCGTTCACAGGGATTACGTGAAGGATTCTTTCATACAAAATCCGGAGCACCTTTTTCAGACTTCAAAAACCTCCGCAAAGACTGTGAAAGAAAAGGCCATTAAGGACATTCAGCTCCAGCAAACTTCAGCCTGTGACGTAATCGATATGAGCGGACAGTGCAGGTGTGTGACCTTTGAGCCAAAAAGCAGATTTATTTACTGTATTTCTACAGTTGCATGAAGGCAAATAAATGGAAGTCAAAGTTAAAGCAGAGTCATTCTCTCCAGGACACGCTGCAGTGAAAACACACATTTGATAATCATGAATGCTTATTATGTATTTGTAGCCTTTACTTGGTCATTTAGATATTAGGCTAATGTAGCTACATTGTGTAACCTTCATATAAGCTTTATACAAGGCTGTTATTTTTTTGCGGCTCCAGACAGATGTTTTTAGTTTTTTTGTCAAATATGGCTCTGAACCTTTTGAGTTGCCAATCCCTGGTATAAACAAACTGTAAAAAAGTGACAAAAACATGCCTGGGCCGGTAAGAAGGAAAAAATGCCCGGGCCGTTTTTCTGTCCCAGTCCAGCCCTGATCACATTCGTAACATTCCAAACATGTGCGTCTCTTACGTCCTGTCCTGCGTTGGGGAAAAACACAGAAGTGGGCGGAGCTTTGATGCAGATGCCGGTAACGGCACTTTTACAGTCATAGAAGACACTCAGAGTAAAGACGTATGTTTACAAGCACTGACCCCGTCCTCAGCCCTGGTTTAGTCCTGGTTTAGTCCTGGTTTAGCCCTGGTTTGGTTGTTTTCGAGCGTGAGTCCCCGCGATCACTTTGCTGCTCTCTGATGTGGAGCGAGGATGTTCGCTGCTGCGAGCATCTCACAGCGAACAGTTTTTAAGGTAGTATGATCCATGCTTCAGTGATCAGAGGAATTTAGGGGGTACTGTGGCGGGCGAGAACGCAAAACTCCGGTTATCTCTGTCTACACACAAATGCATTAACGGAGTTTTCAAAAATCTCCACTTTGCCCGGAGTTTTTTGTATATATTCGTTTAGAATGTGTATTTTTTTATTTATTTAATGCGATCTACCAATACTACCTTTGCGATCGACTGGTAGATCGCGATCGACGTATTGAGCACCCCTGGTCCAGATGGTCTGCACCCGAACAGATACGGCACCAGTTTGTTGACGGACTTCCTACGCCATGTTGTTCAGTGCTCCCCGAGGGGGGCGTGACTGTTTACATCCGAGGCTTCTCGGCCCCCACCACCCCCCTCCTCCTCCTCCTTACCAGCACCGGGTGAGTACTGTGGTGCAAACACTGACCCCTGTCAGTCTGGCAGTGTAACGACAGTCCTGCCACTGAACTGTGCTGACTCAGTTATGCATCTGGAACTTAACAAAGTACAACAGAGTTCACTTTTTAAACCAATAGAGACTGTGTGTGTTTCTCGCACCAGCTCAGAAATGTGTTTTAACTTGAATAAACACAAATTTAAAAGAAGGACAGCAGTTAGACGGTCCAACTCTGGAAATCTAATTCCAGTTCTTTGTAATCAATCAACTAAACCCATTGACACTGATATTAATTTTAACCTTGCTCTACTTAATGTCAGATCACTATGCAACAAATCATTTTTAATTAATAATTTTATCTGTTCGTATGATCTTGATTTTATGTTTATGACTGAAACATGGCTTGACCATAATACAGGAGATGCAGTTTTAATAGAAGCCTCACCACCAAATTTCAAATT